GCAGACGAGGTAGATCGCCCAACACAGCATGTTTCCGGTCGAAGAGTAGTCCCGGATAAACTAAATCAACAGGCCCATCCAGTCAGTGTCACTGAGGTTTGACGTGAGCCTGGCCTAAATTACCTCACAAGCAGCAAGGAAACGATTAACCATTTCACAGGTAGTGACTGCTGAGAAAGGGTGCGCGGACAGTCGTCTATTCTACGCCAAGGATAAGAACTCTGGTATTGACTTCTTGGCCGATACAGGAGCTGCACTCAGTATCACACCAGAGGAAAATTCTGGGATGGGACGACAAAAGTCCCCTGTCACACTACAGGTCGTCAATAAAGCCCAGATCGCAACGTTCAGACTGAAAACACTGACGTTTGACTTCGGGTTTAAGCGACAGCTATCATGAGTATTCAACGCTGATGATTTAGACCAGGCAACCATCGACACCGACTTTCAAGGGAGATACCATTTGCTAGTGTTTACTCAAAGGAGACGTTTAACACTGGAAGAAACCTCCTGAAATACGAACGACAAAGTGAGCGAGCACCACTTGAAGAACTTCGGAGTTTCTTGGTTTGACTAATATCTACCGATGTCTTATACCAAACTGTGCACAGTAAATGTAGCCCCAGATTGTAGCATTATGGAAAAATCCAAAGGAATATGAGCTATCAAAAGAGACATCCAGCGGAATTACATAGGTAAAACATGCTGTGGGTAAAGCCACATCGGTAAAATATCCTAGTCCAGATGCTCCTCTTGCACTAATGTCAGAATCATCGTGGAACGCTGCGGGAGCAGTCTGATAAGATGTTAAATGGCTCACATATCCTCTAGGGACGTTTGCAAGTGATATCGTCCATTTGTTTCATTTTTGGGAAATCTGTTCTGGAGGCCCTCAAACTACTTTTTAAAAAGTTCAGCTACCTCTCCGGGGCTATGTGGTGACTGTATTTCTTTATTTCTGACCAGCAAAAATTATTTTTGAGTTGAGTGGAAGTCTCCATTGAAGAACGACTTTAAATGGCGAGCGTCATGATAATGCGGGATTATTCATTTACTTATGAAGTGCGCAGCTAAATTTACTGCTCATGAAAGCGTAACTGCTTTAAATCGGTGTAATATTCCAAAATGAAAACGCGGGTTGTAATCTTGTGGGTGGAATTTCAGGATGAAAAAACACAACATAAGGATATTGTGTCTTTTTATCTGTGCCTTAATACCCTTTCCACCGTTATGCTTTACTCAGTGTAAACTCCTCATGTATGCTTGTCAAATTTTCAGATTGAAATTTTCCCCTCAGGCATATTTTGCTTGGTGGTGAACTGTAATCGGCTGTAGCACATCCTCTCCGAAAATCAGTTTGTAGGCTTAGAAGGATTTTGCCGAGTCATGGTGAATGTTATCTCATTGACTAATATTTCTTTTATTTTACACATAACATGGGTAGCAACAGTGTAGAGTACCATCGGAATGCATTGTCATCTGTTTGTCGGTCTAGACTAGAAAAAAGTTAACGGTTTACCTGAACTCCAGTGCTTTGGTGTCGAGCAAAAATAATGTTAAAATTTGTTTTCAAATAAACATTATCGGTCTTAAAATGATGCATTTCAGGGTTTCCCTCAGCACACTGGTTTGAACCCTTAAAGGGAAGTTATATCAGTTCATAAATGTTGGGGGCAGAGTACAAATACCAATCTTGATCAAGGATGAATTAAGGTGATGAAGGGTATAGGAAACTGCGAAAATGGCACATAGCAACAGGTACTCTTCGATATTCTCAAATTTTAGTATGAGAGAACTCTTACTCAACAGCTAACAGGAAAAGGCCGATCACTGGAGAATAAACGTCCGTGTACTGGGTTATTTTCAACAAAATGTTCTAGTTTCGGTCTCCTGCATGCCTATTCTTAGTCTGGTAACTAGAATGAACTGGTTTTGAACTGTCGAGGTTAGCAGCCAGATTTAACAACGAAAGATTACTTCAGTTTACTTTTTACTACTGAATCACTCTGTCTTTTCAGTTTTACGAATCCTCAGCAGCTGTGGGCCTCTCTGTCCTACAGCGTATTCATTTTAAGAATAACCTTTAGATTAACTTTTAAATCCCGCACTTGGTGTGACATTCCACGGTTTTACGTGTGCTACTCATGAGAAGACTGAAGTTATAAGGCTGTAAGTGTTATTGTATATCATATTCATGCTAACTATATAGATTCACAAATCATGGTTGATTGGGTGCCAGCACACACAACAGTACGCCAAGCATCCATTTAATCTGGCCACTTCATTTGGTATCTAGGACTTGCAACGGTATACCAACTCTTATCATGCAAACTTACTGAAGAAACACCTTCGTACTCTCTTTAGCCAGTTGCTCTTTTGTTCTTTACTTACACTTGTATAACTAATCCATTTTTACTAAGTAACATCTGTTTGACAAGCTCTGGTGGGCACTGATTGTTATCAGCAAAGTTCCGAACTACGCCGACCAGTTTGTTCCTTTTTATATAACAAAACAAAGTTTTGTTTTTATGATTATGTAATGTTTATTTTTTGTCGTTTTGAGTAAATTATATGAAATATTGTACTGAATGCTGAAAATTCCTTGCTGTATCATTACACCTGCTTTTGAAATAAAGCAAAAATTATCATTATTATTATCCTCCCATCCCTGTAATTGTTGTATCATCAACTTATAATATTTGGGTCAGTGCTTGCGAAAGACTCCCACCAAAAAATTAGTTTGCTGCCCTCTTCTGGAGAATGTGTCACCTACCCTGGCAACAGTGGCTTATCGAATGTTGGCATTTCACGATCTTCAGTGCCTGAGGGGAGGTAAGCCAGACATCTGTTATTTATGTTACATACTGTCAATAAGGTCACAAGGCTTTCATTTGTTACTGGTTGTTCATTAAGGAGTTCATTAAAGATCACATGTAAGTCTCTAAACAACATTCATTCACCCACAGTTATGGTGCAGAAATTTTATATTATACCTCTATGTAGTAAAGTATTCCTCATTATTCTTGTTTGCATTTCAGAATATAACTGCCCTATCCGCATTGTTGTTCCTATCAGGTCAGTTGAATTATCACTGGATATTTCCTTTGGATGTCGTTCCCTGCATGTCGACCTCATCGGTGTCTCTGTATGTGAGTCCGTGGATAGGTTGTGTGCCGAATGTACAGCTTGCAGTTTCAGATCCCTTATCTAGTGTAGCTGCGACCAGTACAAAATAGTCCACACCTACCGAAGAGTAAAGATATTCACCCAGTTCAGTTCTGGCAGTCACTACAGGTGACGTCGGCTTACACCTTGGTTTAGTATTCCTTCCTCAAGAGCGGGTACAACTATCGATATCCATCGTGATTGCTACAGCTGTCCTCAATATCCAAAACTTTGCTCCAACAGTTCTAAAGTTCTCTACATAATAAAACTTAACTGGTACGACTTTTGGCATTTCGGTAGCAAATTTGTAGTGTGCTTAGTCTTTCTGTCAACTCTGTTACCAGTTTGTCCACCTTAGTTTCACTGTCACTGCAGCACTGCATCCAAGGCCAAACTCTTGACACAATCAGTTGCACGAAATGCCCCATTTGACAGTTAGACCATGTCCACACCTAATTTTCAAGCAGACTAGGAAAATTAGTGGGGTTTACCGAGCCCCACGTAAGGGTTTCCAGGCATCAAGTGATCAGCGTAGCCTGCATGTCAGCTAGCGTTTCCACGAAATGTTGACATTTGATGGAATGAGGGGGGATCCTTCAAAATGAAGGTCTGTAAGTCCTTCCTTTAATCCTGAAAATGTTAATCAGAAAGCGATCGTGATCTACTTTACATCCTGAATTTCTGCGAAATCAATTTAATCTGACAGATCTCATGACAAAAGAGAGCTGATTCAGCTTTACGGATACGATGTAATCTCTACAAACTTTAGCAAACCTTTTGATGAATCATCTGAAATCAGATTCATCCTGAAATTAGAAAATTTTAGAATCGTTGTAAGCCGACATCTCTGGATAACAGGACAGCAGATAGTAAGAATAAACTCTAACCTCACTCTCCAGACGATGGGAAGGAGTGGTGTGTTGCAAGGATTGCAGTGGACGCTCTACTGTTTTTTCCCACAAATCCACGAATTATCAGGGTAAACCAAATCTCCCGTGGCTTTCTACATTGACGATCCAAAAGTCTGAAGGTATATTACGGAGGGCAGACCTATTGTCACTTAGAGGCAAGATGAAGGATCTTTACTGACACCACCATTCACATGTTTACCACCATGTATACATCTTCAGCGGGACTCAAAGTAAACAAACTGCATTCAGTCAACTAGCTTTTGTTTAACAAGCGGATGACGCATAGTAAAAAGAGTTCAGAGAGCTGTTGTGTACATGATTCCTGGAATGATATGTACAACAAGACGAGGGAATAGAAAGTTCAAATCAATTTGCCCGATAATATTATATAATGGGTGAAGAATCATTCATGATGTTCCTAGTTTAACTAAATGATTGTGAGCCAGGTATATATTTTATTCTCCTTCTTATTTAGTTGAAGATATCTCAGAGGACACAGCAACAGAGTTTAAAGGCCGTGTATAGCTACAGTCACTTGGTTGAAAGTTCTTAAAAGAAGATTTAAATAATCCGTCACGAAACAAAATATTTGAATCCCAATAATTTCAGACAGTTAATGTGCAGCATGTGTGTATCCAACGTTTTTGAAATAAGTATGCTGTTTCAAAGGGTAAACTATGTGTATGTGGAGAAAATGACTGAAATTGTTAGTGCGTTTGGGTAACAAAATCACACAATGCTATTGAGAATTGAAGTCTATCGACCGCTTTAAGGTTGCCGGTTGCTTTAAATTCCGACGTTGAAAAACTTAAAGCGTGTTTATGAGCTCTACGTCCTATGATCCCAAATATATTCCATATTCCTAAGGTGTCAGAGGGGGATATTTATTCATGAGTAAATAAAATATGCACATCTCATTTTAAAATGGAGGATGAATCTTGCACACATTCTCCGCCTCTGAAAAAAATTTGTGCAGATCAAAATCTACCAGAACCCTTCACTTTGGAGGAGCTCTCAAAGCTGCTCAATGTCTGTATTTACAGACAGGAACTTGCAGCTGTAAATCAAGAGTTAGATTTGTTAGATGATATTACTACAAACTGCACTGAAGATAATGTTGTTGAACAAAGTGTCAAACAGGAGTCGACGGCTCGTTCTTTTGCATTGCCCGTCGACCAAATGCGAAGCGACCATCTTTTTATTTATATTCCTCCAAAGAAAGAAGAGCCAGTTACTAGTGGCATACATGATTCTAAGGATTCTAACTTGTCAATCAAACAGGAACCCGTATCCTCATGTCCAGAGATTGCCTTGGATGCTAAACGAGAAGCTTCTGTCTTGCAACAGGTTGCACGTCTCCATAGAAAAGGCTTGTGGTCTTCTGATCGTCTACCAAAAGTTATGGAGCCAAGGTTTGGGAAAATGCACCATGTTCACCTTCTTAATGAGGCTCTTTGGTTGTCAACAGATTTCCGCGAAGAAAGAAAGTGGAAAAAGGACATGGCTATTAGGGTGAGTTATGTTGATCAAGCTTCAGTGCTGTTGAAATTTCGCACTAGTTTGGTTCCCTAGAAGGCTCAGTTTGTATCCTATTTTAGCAAATAAATTTTTATAATTTATGCTTTAGTTAACTAATTAAAATCAATCATGTGAATGAAGCATAAGTTCTTCCAGGAAAATTTTACACATGGTATTGCCCAAAACTATCGGATGCTTTTTTATTACCCATAAACTAAAATTATTTGTTTTACTTAACTAACCCCTTTATTTATATATTTCTGAATATGAAGTTCCCTAGCGATATTTCTTCATTAGCTGCACTTTATTCCTTAGTCTGACAGCTCTTAGTCGCGAAACTGTAAAGGACCTATGCATGTATCTGACCGGGGGACAGTTATGTTCCCAGAAACACTTGGATAATTACACTTCGGACGTGCATTTTGTTGGTTTGACAAGTAAATGGATATGGTGGATAGACTTTTTCTGATAGTGATTCAGTTTTTTACCTTATCTTCTATTTATTCCGTTTAAAGTGAAGTGCTTCGGAATCAGTAAGTGCAGTGGGACTACTGTATGACTGCATGATTCCAAAAACTCCCATGGTATTTACAAGCGGCTAGCTAGCATGTGAATTATGCTTCAGATGATCCAGTTTCTATATAGAGATGAGTTTTTTCCTTCCCTAGACTGACTTCAGTGTTCTATAATTGTAGTCCTCAACTTTAGGTATTCTGCAGTGATGCTCAAGTTAATACCCTTTTGTTTTGACGGTAAAAATGAATGGTTGGAAACAATTGGTGACATGGCTCAAAATCGTTCTCAGTGGCGCAGATGCATCCACTCCTTGTGACTTATGATTTCCAATTAAACTGTTTTGTTCTCCGTTATTACTATTCCTTTGTCTCACACCTCTGTTTACTGACTATATTATGCATTTCTTCTTTCTTCTCTTGCTTTGTGTGCTGCATGGAGTGTGGCGACTTGAACTGCCGCACATATGTGCAGTTCTATGTCGAAAACCGACCGATCGACCGGTTGTTGTCAATGCATAATGTACATAGGTCCAATATGTATCAGAAAACCAAGTGCGGTGAGTATATACTGTAGTGCAGATATCTGTAGAATAATGACACTGCACTAGTCTTACTAGGCAACTATGTTTATAAAACCGCGAAAATGTTTTGCATAATCTTATCCCGTACAAATCATAAGACGATGCTACATTATTGGTCCTCATTGATTCTTAGTTTGATATAGAGATTAAAATGGTCAAAATCTGCTTAGAAAGTAGTATTAGCTCTAGTTTACTGGTGATAAAATTACCGCATCGCTTTGCGTTTCTGACTAACGTTATCTTTAGATCCAGGAAGATATTTTGATAGTCATCTAAGTGTGAATGTATTGTGAAGCAGTTCGCTTCGGAAGACAAATATTGTTGGCTAAAATATGAAAATATTGTAGATACTTTATTTTATTTATTTTTATTTTGATTTACAGCTTGATTCCACACCGTATTTTCAGTACAAGTATGGAATTTTCAGCATGGATATCGGTAGCCCAAATTCAGGCCGACCATAGATATCGGGTGTGCGCCGGCAGGGGATCGAACCCCGGACGATGTGCATGGTCGGCGAGAGTCCTAACCACTGTGCCACCGACGCACAGTTATCTACGTTAATTGGAACAAAATATATTACACTGAGGCTGGATCTAGTGTATTAGCTGTGGAAGTTATAATCTGTTGTATATCCTCAACATTTGATATAAATCATATGTTAGGTGTATGAAGCCAATGCCTTATTCAACTTTCTGTTTAAAGTAGAATTAGATGAAAGTTGTAGTTGATCAAGTAGAAACATGATACTAATCTTGGAAATCATTAACCGTTTCTCTAAGCTATATAGTTGTAGACTGTTTAATTGGGGTCTTTAGAATGCTAAAAACCGATGGATTGAAACCTGTAAAATGACCCACCTTTAGGCACGACGCGGGTATGTTCACTGTCTATCATCTCGAGATTCTAAACATTTTTACTAATTATTAAGTCAGTTTTTCCTCTCACAATCTTCAAATACTTAATAGGGCTATTTTAACTTTCCTCTATTTTTATGTGCAACAGTTCATTCTGTCCTTTGTGATTGTGGTCGATCAGTCTTAGCTGAAGTAGCATTAGGTTAGAAAAGCATTATATTAGTATATGAAGTTCTCTACCGTTGGTCATCAACATACTAAGAATCAGTGGTTCCAAATCGTTCTTAATGGCACAGATACATTCACTCTTTGTAGTCTTTTAGATCCTTTAAATTCTTGTTATTCTCCATATAATTATCTTTTCTCGCTTTCATTATAGTTTTGAGTTTTTTCTCTGCCTATGTGCTATTTACATTGTGCCAAGTTGAACTGCTGCGAAGTTCTACGTTGAAAACTCAGTCTTCCATTTTCACACTGTTTTAGGATGTGGCGACGTGAACTGGTATACCTTTGTTTGTAGTTATCCAAGTTGGTTTTTGTCTCTGACCGTTAATTGTTTTAAATTGTTTCACAAATACTAGTCTTGATGCTGGAGATTACTAAGTCTATTTACCTTTCCCATGCATTTTTTAATATTTTTTCAAATGATGTGATAAACTAAGATATGATTCTAATAGGTCCTAAATTTCAGTATATTTTCCTCCGTATTTGCCACTTACCAACTTAGCTTGCTCGCGCAGCTCAAGCTTATCTTATCACACGTCATGAATGGAATCAACAGATTCAATACTTTGAAGAACAGTTGAGAATGAGAAACGCTGCTCGGGTGGCAAAGATGATCAAAGATTGGTGGAGTGGAATAAATCAGGTAAGTAAAAAATGTGAATTTTTGTCTGATAGTGATAAGTGGTATCATGTTCTTATACATCTTTGTTATTCTAATCTTCACTTCGTTATTTTATTTAAATGCCTAGTTCTGTTTCTATGTTGATTTCACGCGCATTCGACAATTGTTCTTACAATGTGGTTTTAATAAAATTAAATTCTTAAGTATCTATTATCCTTATTTTAGAGCTTGGATATCCTTCGCATGAAGTTGCACCATAAACGGTGGGAATATGCTTGTAAAGAGAATCAAGATTCTGTAGTTCAATTTTCCGATACGTCACTAAGCTGGTGGGCTGCTTTGAAGTTTGACTTCAAGAATGAAAAATTCCAGAAACCTGATTTATTACAAATTTCTCCTGATGAAAAGATCTTGTCATACGTTGATGGCGATGGAGACATGGATGATGAAGACTGGAAGCCAGAAATAGAGAGTGAAAGTTCTACTGTCTCGGATAGTTGCAGCAGTTCAACTAGCAGTAGTTTAGCATCAAGTTTTCTGGATGACAGTGATGTTAATGCCCCGGGAGTCACAGCGTACTCACCTTCTGATCCTTTGTCTTCAGAACATTACCATTCTGAAATCACTACTCCTATCGCTTTTAATCAGAATGACAGACAACTTGGATTAGAGAAAGAACAAAAGAACCAAGAGATGCTTCCACACGATTCTGATTGTGAATCCCGAGATGGTTCAAATGCGTCACACAACGCTAGCACTGAAGAAACTCAAATAAGTCAGGCATCACCTGAACCCGGTGATTCTAGTGTTGAGAGCATTGAAGTACAACATTTGATGTCTGACACAAAAGTTCCTTTGAATCACCTTCTTGAAACATATCTCCAGCAAGGATTGTTTACGGGAGAAAAAGTCAAATGTGAACCCGGATCTTGTTCTTCAGATTCAGACACATCCAACGGCGAAGTTGATTGTCACACTTACGTTGAACTTCCAAAGGTAAGTTATATTTAATATATTGTTTGTTTCTGTTGTTTTACAATGGAGTTTAAGAAAAGAGTTACATATATTGTATTGTTCTCCATGTTAATACCTCCATAGAAAAAGATCCTTTTTGAGAGTTGCTTGTAACAGCCTAAATGTTGCATATTATTTATTGTATTAGAATGAGGGCAGTTCGCTACACAGATATAACTTTCTTAGTCAAATTTCTCCGTTTAGCGAAAGTCTCCATTAGAATATTTAGGAGAAAACGTGATTCAATAAAAAAGACTTCATTGAAACCTTGTGTTTAACTCAATTATCCCACGGTCGACTCGGTAGAATATTCTACCTGACATAATCATATTCTTATATGTGACTAACATTTTCAGTAATGTGGTCATGCCAAAAATAAACAGTACTCCTCCTTACATTATCTTGAGCTGACATGAATTAGTAAGTGATGTCTGTATATTTGGGGACATATGAAGATATTATGTAGATTCAGATGTAATTTTGATTACTTATTATTTCAGACAACTTAAAATATAGTAGAAACAACCTTGTGCATATTTAAAATGTATAGTTGACTTGTCAAGCAAACACTAAACAAGCCTTTCGTTAAAACAAATTATGATAAAAAACGGTTTTCCTTGTCTGCTACCTGAAAGAAGTGTAGACATGAGTAAGGAGGATATGAACTCATTAAGTGATATCGTCCGTTACTTAAAACTATCGATAGTCATGTCAGTGTTTGCTAGTCTTAATATTTGATTGAATATCACTTATTCTTGTCACGCATCCATCAATCGTTTCTGAGTTGTCTGAATTACCTAGTTACTAATAGTATTTCATTGGGAAATTTCTTACTTGATTTCCTATTATATCTCAATGAATTACAGCTCTCATCCTATGTTTTTTAAGCTCCAGCAAGAAGTAACAATTATTGTTCAGTAGTTTGAATGCAGACTTAGTTCTTATCAATACCAAAATCTTAACGTTGATGGAAACTGTATTTGAACTTCAGTCTCAGTTTAACAGAGGACTTTTTCAGTACTATACTACCAGCTGATTCATTGAGCACCAATTTTCAATCGGTTTAGCTTATTATTGCTTTGGAAATGTGTATTACACTTAATTTTTATCTTTAAATTTGCTTTTACTCCTTTACTCACACAATGAGTGATATCTGTAATCTGAGCTCTGAATCGTAAAAGATGCCAAAAATCAACGATAAAAATTATCTTAAGAACTACGTTTTATTTTTTTTTTTCATGTACATTCTCCTACCTATTTACAGTTGTTTGTAATTTGAGCAAACTTTTGGTAACGTTTCCCAACACGCTGCGCTGCAGATAGGGTTTTGAGTCCGTTCGAGGCCATGATTTCCTTCAGAGTTTTGCATAAATATTTGGAGGTAGTAAGTACTAACGATGGTTCCTAATTTCGTTTCTTTCATACTACATTGTGTTATGTGGGCATTGAGTTGTTGCGTCACGGTTTAAGCGTGAAAAAATACCATTTAGTTTAACTAGTAAAGTCGAAAAGACTTAAAACCATAGTATCATGTCGTATCTATTTGTGGTGTGCAGATGTTTGTTGTGGTAATATGAATTTTCACGCAGCAATATCCGTTCCCAAGTTAATAATGTCTATGTGTTCCTCATATCAATGAAGATTCGTTTCCTGCATTATTTCGTTTAGTACCTAAGAACTCAATTTTTGTTGTAAGCATTACTAGCTAATGAGACTTGTCTACTAATACTTTAATAATTTATAAACTTATTTCTCTATCCTTAAGTCATTCAAGGAGAATGTATTGATTTTTTCTGTAGCGCATTCAAGAAGAAATCTCAATTCTTCAGAAGGAAGCAAGTTTGCCTCTACTTGAAGTATTACCCGCCGGTTACATGAATTTTCTCGAAAGCGCTGATACACACAAATGCCCAGCTGAACGTGCAACTCTCTCTCCTTCGCAAAAGGGTTATCACCATTTGGATGAATCACCTCAAGCTGATATTAAGATGGATAGTGGAAACGTCTCTTCACCTATGGTAAGCAATACATTGGGTCTGGATAGCGGTGGCGGTGATCCTGATTCAGCGAGCTCTGAGTCTGAAGCGTCATCTTTAATATCTGGTGAAAACAATGAGAGTGATCAACTGTTACAGTCTGAGGATGAATTTAGCACAAATAACCGTATGGTTTGCGCACCCTGGTATTCTTCTACACTTCATTCTGCACCCAGACATATAACAGATTTGCACACAGCTGCTGTTGAACTACTGTCATTAAAATTAACATCCATGGCAAATAATGATTTAATGAAATATATTTCTGAAACATGTACGGTAGCTCATGGTCCGACTCTTCGAATTCGTTCTCTTCCAACTGCTAATTTCGGTAAGCTAAGCTATATTGTTATAAAATATTCGTTTTATTTGCGTGACTGCGCCTGCAATCACTGCCTATCGTATATCAGTTTACTGACATGACATGAGTCCTAATTAGGGCAACCACCTGCAATAAAACTATGGTTAACGATTATATATATATATATACCTATGCACATGGTGTTGAAGAAAATCGTGTTAAATACCTTTCATTCACTTCTCAGTTTCTTAAATAAAACAAAAAATTGCTTCAAAACGTATATTCTGGATACCTTACTGCAATGTATATCCACCTATAGCTCAGCGGACAGTTCATAAGGAATTCCTTGTAAAACATCATTAGAGGTAAAACAAATTTGGTTAGAACCTATTTACCCTGAAATGATTTTACAAGTACCACTCTGGTAGTCAAATTTATTGTCTAAATACTGGTGGTACTACAAAGCAGCCTAGAGTGCAGTAAGTCCTAACTGAAAGCTAAGTGCTCACACCAATGACGTATATCGAATACTTGATTACTACTACAAAATCTAGTGCTGTTATAAACGGTCAAGTTGTTTAATTTAGCTAGTTAATATGTGTACCATTTACTATTCTTGAACAGTTATAGTACCCACTAAACAGAAGTAACTTCCTTGTTACCATCGTCATTTTTATTAAAATGGATAAATTTCGAATGTCGAATGAATTACACACATTTTCACTGTACCATATTCATGTTACTATGATTTATTTAGGTAGTGTTGAAACTGTTGAACACTAGACTTTTATTCCAATATTACTCGTGAAAATTCTTTGTCATCTGATTATACTTTTGTTCAAGTTATTGTGTACATGGACTGACTGACTGCTTTCAACGTAGAACTTTGCACAGATGTGCAGCATTTCAAGTTGCCACACTCCATGTAGCGCACAAGGCAGGAGAAGAGAGTAAAGAGAGATAATAAACAGAAATGTGATGCAAAAGGAATAGTAATCTGGAAGAACAATAGAATTTTATTGGATATGTTATATCACAAAAGTGGATGCATCTGCGACACACATTGAAAGCGATTTTGAGCTATACCACCGATTGTATCCAGCCATTGGTTTTTACTACACCTCCCAACGTGACTGGCTTAAACTAACTGTTGTGGATTTCATTGACTGGTGCCATGTTTTCGTTTGACCACCGCTAGCTCTTTTCCAGCCTGACCTTATATCAGCTAACATTGCCCGCCGACGAATGCGTTGGCTAGGCATACGTAACAGATTTCCTAACCATCTCAGTCTATATAGCTTCACAACCTCGTCTATTGATTTCCCCTCCTTACCTAGCACTCGACCTAGGCCTAACCCCAATATTGCCCACCTTATTATACCACTTCACACGAGAGATAGAACGCAGGCACCTATAATCAAAGACAGCTAGCCTTTTCATGTCCTCCACTCTCAATGGCCATGTCTCGCTCACATCCATAAAGGAGGACGGAGCGAACTGCTGAGCGGTGCACACTTCCTTTGTTTGACGGCCGGATATCACATCTACTAAGCCAGAGATATGCGAAACGAGCCTCCTGTATCCATGCTGAGATTTCGTCAGTGATGAAGCAGCTGGCGTTGGCTGATGCAACTTCCCAAATAAGTGAAGTGGTCAACGTGCTCTACCACTTCACTCCCTATTTGTAAGCTAGGAGTCAATGTAGTCTAGTCCTCTTAATAAGGTGAGCAATATCGAGGTTAGGCATCGATTGCTAGGTAAGGAGGGGAAATCAATTGAAGAGGCTATAAAGTTACATAGATTGAGATGGCCATGTCACATGCTGCGCATGCCTAACCATCGCCTCCCCCGACGCATATTACTAGCTGATATAGGTGCAGGTTGGAAAAGAGTAAGTGGTGGCCAAAAAAAAACATGGCATCAATCCATGAAATCCTCGACAGTTAAACTGAGTCAGGTAGGGAGATACAGACTTCCGGGTTGGGGCCCTCGGGACTCTAAGAATCAATGGCTGGAGACAATAGGTGACATGGCTCAAAATCGTTGTCAATGGCTAGCGCAGATGTATTCAGTCTCTGTAATCTTTCATATTCCTTTCTACCATTACTCATTCTGTTTCACTCTTATACTTGTCAAAACTCTATTGATTCTCTTCAGTCATCTTCTTGTCTGCCTTTGTGTGCTATTTGAAACGTGGCAACTCGAAGTGCTGCACTTCGGTGCCAAGTTCTATGTTGAATCCAGAGAGAGAGAGAGAGAGTCCAGTCCTGTAGCATCATCTTACATTTAGTGGGAGCGAATCGCATGCTAAATATTCGAGAAATGCTGCTCAAGGTGCTTAGAAAACTGCATTTTGTCAGCGTCTTCACCCAGAAGCACTATATCATCTGCCCACACCGTGGAAGCTGATTTATTCTTGGGGTGCCTGAAACAAAAAGAATTAGTGTCGCGTAATCACAGAGCCTAGGGGACAACTGCTTGAGACCGGTCACCCACGCCCTGTCTGAACTGGCTTTTTGGTTTGGCTCCGTATCAGTAACTTACCGCCGGCTACGGACCATCGTAGGGTAAGTCGGGATTTACAGTTTTTGGGGTCGACCTTTTCTAATCCACTCTTTCCAGAGTGGAGAGACAGCATAGTTGGCATGCCGGTTATCTGAGGGAAACACCTTACTTCTGTTACATCCCTGTTCCCCAGCAGTAGTACAACTTTGCCCACAGACCTCCAACATAGTGTAAAAAAATATGAGGAATCAGCTTAGAATAACTTAAAGCGTTTCTAAGTTTGCTGATTATTCGTATGTTAAGCACTTCTGCACAGTCAAACTACTTTGTTCGTTGTCTAATCACCCGTTTGATTCATATTTCTATCACTTATGTCTTGTATTATTGTAACAAAAGAAAACAAAGGACAGGCAACAGATCATTTATTAAGGAAAATCAACACATTTATAGATTTTAATGTACATTATTGTAGATTATTGTTAGTAGAAAATACAGCCTTTTGATTGGTTGTTTCTCACAGAAAGTTAACCTTGCATCTCTTTGTGGCTGTGTCAGATCATCCATATGCTAACTGCATCCGCCCACGCAAAGCCTTTGTTCTCATTTTCTCACCACCAATATTGGAGACATAAACATTGACGTCAATTACTGTCTACCAACTTTGGCTAGCAGCCAGCTCTCACCACATTATCACTTTATCATGTTATGAGGAATATTTAGTCATTTTTGGTAAAGTTTCATCAATGATAATCCTAATATCTGCTTATAGTTTTTTTTACATCTATATTACCTTGGATCTGATTATTTCTTCTTTCAGGTGCAGCCGTAACATGGATGCGACATGCATTTGCTCGATCTGTCCCAGTTCTTCTATTGACAAACAGTCATCTATCAGGTGATGCTGAGTTGGCTGTTGCTGCGCATCTTGGGCAACTTGCAGTTGCCGACCCTCGGTATTATATGTCATCAGGATATCCATCCAATGAATTTGCTAATGATACAATCACAGGGGAATGGGGTCCACATTTAATTGTCACTCCCAGCTTGTGTCTTTCCGCTTGGCGTAAACGTCTGCAAATTTGGTGTCCTGGTCTTCGTGTAACGTGTTTAGGTCTCGCTCGCAAAACTGACCGATCTGGGACTGGAAATCGTCTTCGGGATAGCGTAGCTCGTGGTGCTGTAAACATCTGTTTAGTTAGTTATTCCGCTTTACGTTCAAGACCTAGCCGTTTCACAAGGATCCAGTGGAGTTCAGTTGTATTTGATCAGGTAAAAATGTGTTACTTTATAAATTTACAAGTGTCAGTCACATTTTCATTCCACTACATCTGAGGACAACAACTAAGGAGTCTTTGTCGTTTGTGGGTTACCTAATTCATCCTATTCAATTATTGAAATATTAATTTTTAAATCCCATAGTAGACATAATGACGTATCTTGAGTCGAAAAGACGCGTCAACATTACTCTTTTTAGATTTTAAGGACGTGTTTAGTAAAAGAAAGAAGCCACAGAACCTAAAGGAGTTCGGTTAATAAACTAGATATCTTAGGCGAAGTGCAATAATGCAATTGTTATCGTGATTGCTGGTACTCTAGTCTAATGTATTCAGTTTTGATTCAATTTTTATTAAAAGTTGTTAATTTTCAACGATTCGAAACTGAGAAACATGGAATGTTTCCCGCCTCCTATATTTGACCCTCTAAAGAGTTGAAAATGTAAACCTTTGATCAATGCTTAACAGTTGTTCATTGTTCTGTTATCAATGGTGTTTCTTCAAGAAGTGATAGGTTCTTCAGAACTTATCAGTCAGATGTGTTCTGCATTTCATTAAGTGGTAGTGTCTCCATTATCACCCTAGCCTAGCACATATCTCCTAAACGGAGTTGTGGTTCATTGGTCTACGCACTTGACTTCCAACCAGTGGATTACGGGTTCAAACGCCGCGCCACCTTCCGGGATTTGGGCAACCAGTTAGATACCCCTCATACAATAGGTGTAATACATTTCCAAAGGCAGTGGGATTGCAAGGGGTTGTTTGGTAACATTTCACTTTTTCTTCATATATCTCTTAAACACAAGGAAGTTATCCACCAGACTTCAAAGACCGTTAGTTAACTGTCCAAACCAAAGTTGCAAACGTAATATTCTATCTTATTTGAAAAACAATATGCTGCACCTGAATACTCATTAAACCTGATTTAAAAACAATCCACTATGCGTGTTAGTAAATACTTACAAATTTTTTTACTGCTTCCGAACATAAATCAACGTTTGAATACCAATGGTGAGTAGGCACCATTGTCCAAACTACTAGGTGGTTACAAAAAAACTGCTCTGTACGAAAGAAATTCTGCCATATGTTTAAATTACAAATTTGACTTGTATCAAGGGTGCATTTTATATATACATGAAATACAAGGCTAGGTAGAAAGTGGAACGTTGATAGACTCCTGATAGCCAGTGGAAAATCAGCGTTTGGAAATAAAGCATGTTATATCGAAGATGGTAAATTCAAATGTTTGAAAAATGGTAAATTGGTGATATAGATGATGTAAAAAGTTTTCATACAATCTTAAGTGTTAAGATGTAATGTCATGTTAGTAGTGTGAACTAAACCTTTCTATACAGATATTCACATGTTGAATTTAAAGTCAGACTGTTGCTACCATCATATGCTGTAATGAATGATGGGATCACATGCTGTTTTTAAAGTAGCCAAGTGGTTCACATTCTTTTTAACTGCCATATAAGGTATTTTATTGGTTAAAGTCATTTATAAGTAATTCAGGCCTTAAATACACCACCCTATATACTGCTGTTCATTCAGTAGTGTTTGCTAAGCAGACCGAAGTTATCTAGACACCCAGACGTTTTTCTCGTTCGGGACGTAGCTCATCATCAGCGTACCCGGTCTAACTGAGCTCAGGCAGCCAGATTAGGTGAAAACGCCCCGAATTCTGGCTATCTACTTGGATGAACCGGTAATAGATTAAATCAAATTTACAAATTGCTAATTTAATTTAAGCCTCACCTGTTTCATTTTGTTGAAACAGTTATTTGCATTTCTATTTTTTTTGAAATATTACTTTCACACTGATTTTTTTTCCTCTTAAGATGCAACATATTATTCTGCAGTCTTTCAAAAGCTCCGGTCTAATCTGTACAGAAACACCAAATCGTCAACGAACTATCAAAAAGTTACATTCACAAGATTTTACTCAAGACGTAACAAGTGACTGTGAAGCTGCCAGTTGTGATGACAATGTGGCAGATAGTTTGAATACAAGGCAGTTAAGTGGTTGGTCAATTCCTAAAACTTCGGAGTCAATAATTCGTCGAAAGTTGGAATGGTTTGATTTAATATTGAATAAGTTAGGCCGAAACGGTCATCGTCTGTTGATTAGTTCATCAGCTGATCTGATTTATCATAAACACAGTCCATATTTATTGGATTTAAGTAAACTGCTTCTGTTAAAGAATTTACCAGATGAAGAGAATTACAGGTCTTGGTTGAATGATTTTTTTCAAGCTGTCAACCTCTCAGCAAGTCATTGTCGTCCGTCTAGCACGGGTTTGTTGTCAAAGCCATCAAAGAAACAACTTTTCAAGGTAATTTACTTACTATTATGTAGCATAAGTAGTATGATGTTGTCTACCAAAAAAAATACTGTATTCAAATCTGGTTAACTAAGGATTGAACTGTGAAGTAGACCAAGTTTATCCCTTTGCTAGGAAATAAGATGACCAGATTCCCTAAGCTAACGACTATCTGGATAGAGAATTAATTATCATGCGGAATGTATTTAACCGTCATATAAAGTTGTAATATGAATAACCATGAACTGTTCATTGAATATAGGAACCAAGTCCTTCAGACACAGTCATTATTATCATGTGTAACCCTTGATTCCATTAGTTAACCGACAGAATGTTTTTCTTGAGTTATGCTGATGTATACAGCACACGGTAGCCTCAGTTACTTATTGTTGACTTACAGTGTTTAACAATACAAGTTTCAGTACATTTAACACGTATGTATGTGCCTTTTATTCTCCTCGCTTTATAGTTTATGAGAAACAATCATTGTTAAGCTAAAAAATATGGTTTCAAATATTTGTGAAAGTGCATCTTGTGGGTGTTAATACTGGGTCTGTCACCACTTTGGTTGGTGTTGATTAGTGTATATCGGTCACCGACCGCATTACGTAACTTCAACACGAGATGGTTAGGTTGTGTTATGCATTTTTATGTTTATACCAAATGTTTGAAGAGCACAGTCCCACCGAAAAATAAAAAAAGGTTAATTAATTTGGGATTTGAGCATTGAAAAAATATATTCTATTTGATTGCTAGTCAGTTTGATTCTGTTCACACGACGGCAGTGTAATTAGCTTGATAAACTTTATCAGTTTGTTATTTGTTTTTAATTCAGTTTTGATTTCTCCCTTGATTGATTGGACTAGAATGTTTGATCTCTGTTGACATGTTGGCTCCTAGTACAGACTCATTGGGGAATGCAGGTGCACCAAACTGACGAGTCCCGAATAGGACGAAATCCTCATCTGAGATTCTGATGCCAAATGATTTCAACTTATCAGTTTGTGTTAAAGGGTGAATAAATGTTGAAAATATGCTTCTTTTAATTAGTTGTTCTTTTCGCAAACAAGTTGAATTGAATTTATTATTTTACTTGAAAGAGAGAGAGGAGTGTACACGGAAAGAAAGGTATATCAAGGTTTTTCCTCTGCTGAAAATAGTGATAATTTGTTTTTCATCTGTAAATGATCACATATCAAAAGTTATTTTTAAAGTTATTATCAGTTTACTTCTATTATTCCCATTTGACTAGTTCCTAGATCCATTTGTTATACGTTTTGATGATGAAGAGGAATGGGATTCATTTATCAATGAAGAGGTTATTGAATGTCGTATGTCTACCATACAACAAAAGCTTCATGATGCTGCATTAAGCACTAAAGCGTAAGTTGTTTTTTTCTTCTTCTTCATTACTTTGCGTTTCGATAGGAATGGATACGGGTTCAAGTTTTTGAAGTTTCAGTAATGGTGGTGTAGTTTTTACTGGGTACTATTGCTAGTCTCACTCCCAACCTCCCCTCTTTACCGGGCTTACTACCACCTAGGGAAAAGTTTAGGAGTGAATAGGCCAAGACCACGTGACACGTGGTTGGCGAGCATATTCTACCATTGGACTACTGACTCAAAAATCATTGATTACAATCTTGGAGTTATGTTTTTATTCATTTCTTCTTTTGGTTCCTGTCGCTCCTAATTTAAATTATTCTGCTAGTTAAATTTTTTAGGGCATGTGATGTGTTGCTAACTTTGTATTAGCCTTCATTTTTGTATATATATATATATGTATTGAAAATATTAGATTTTCCGAATTTCCCACACGCATATGAACGAAATATAAAATTATTCGCATTATAGTATTGATTAAATATATTTCGGTAAACTCGTAATAAATATCAAATATCTGTGGATTAAGCAGGAATTTTGTTGAATCCGTTTGTTAACTAGATGATCTGTTGTTAATTATATAAAGAAATAAAGCAAATCTCTGGTGTTTTCAATTTAAAGCTTTATTTGTTTAAAATTCGCAACCACCTCAGGTAATTTGATTTTTTTCACCTCAGTTAGCAGGAATAGATTTTTTATGTACCATGTACTTTTGCGAGGGTTGGTGAAACTACTCCCTTGCCAAGGCTTAAGCAGACCTAGTGGGACTCGAAACCGTGATCCACTGGTCGAAAGCCTAGTGCTCGAGCCCGTGAGACCACTTCTGGAGGTGATGCTGAATGCTTACTTTGGTTTACTGTCTCTATTTTGCATTTCTTCTACTTTCTTCTCTTACTTTGTGTGCTGCATGGAGTGTGGTGACTTGAACTGCTGCAAAGTTCTATGTTGAAAACAGACAGACAGACAGACAGAGGCTTACTTTGGTTCAGTTAAGATATATCGTTTATTTTTAGACTGTTAATTTACTATTACTGTTTGGATCTCCAGTAAGTCGAATTTTCGAACATATAGTTATTGAATTAGGTACTTCTTTACAAGCCACAGATATTGTATCTTTTTAATATGGTTGTGTTCTGTGAACTGGATGGTCTAATTGCGAAGCTTTCATTGCGCTTCTTCACGACACCATCAGCGTGAAGTAAGAGACAGTTGTATGATTCACGGAGGATTCAAAAGTCTTACTTCATATTAAAATAAACACTGAAGATGTTATCTAAAAGTACAATGAGAGCTTCTCAATTCCAATGCCTAACTCAGAGAACACAACTACATCACCTGAGTTATAAATCTACATTATCTTTAGATATTGGTATCGTTTATTGGAATGAATTTATTTATAGATGCTTTTTAAACAGAAACTATAACCTCAATTGTTTATTTTGTTGATTTGTTACTCTTTTATTCGTTTGCCTTTCATTTGGAACACAGAGAGCTTCAAGCTTTGAGCTTTGAATTGCCCATAGCAATGGCACTATTTCTCTTTACAGGGTGGGGTTGCTAGTCTCATACCCATCCTTCAGTCTTTACCGGACTTACTACCGGCTAAGCAGGGTTTAAGTATGCGTAGGCTGGGGACCGAACCACGGATCACGCAAGGCATAGTTAGTGATGATTCTACCTCTGAACCACTGGTGAATATTGTTGAGTAATAAGGAAAAACAAATTTGGTGATATTAGGGGAATACAAAAAAGAAGTAGGTATATGCTGAGTATTTTCCATAATAACTGTGATAGTTTGCCTATCATTACGTTCCACGCACAATGAAAAACAAGGGAGAGTTGTGTTTGATATTGACCCGTGATTCAGTATTGCGAAAGTGTGGGTTTCGAATAATTCAGGAGTTACGTTTGTGTTTTTGAAAAGAGCGGGAGAGAGAATGTTGAAATTCACCAAAATGTCAGGGGACAGTTTCAATGTTTGTATATTATTAAAAATTCAGTATTTGCAAACTGCATCATTTCTGTTAATGATAGTGGAGACTGAACTATTGTCGTAACACTGGGAGAGTTAAGCATTCAGTGATAAAATTGTTACCTTATATTATTTCTTTTTGAAATTTAATTAATACATTGTAGTGCGGAAAATGCAATGAAGACGGGGAATCTGATGGATCTTTTACAGACTGTTTCTATTGCTGCTCGTACTTGTAGTCATCCCTGTTTAACAGGAACTCAACCGAAGAACTCACGAATATTTCGACGTACTATAAATAATCTACAAACCAGAAATAATGCTGCATATGGACCGTGTGTATTTAATTCTCTTGAGAGAATATGTGATTCAAATAGAAGCTGTTATCCAAATAGTAGCCTTATCTTCAGTACTCCAGAATCTGTTTTATTCGGTGTTAAACTACTTCGACAATCTGAATTATCATATACATCTTGTCAATATTTTAATTTGTTCGAAGCACTGAAGTCATCTGTGTACGTACGTAATCGAATCGCCAGTCTTACACCTCAGTTTATTGACCTAGTATCCACTCCCAAAAAGCAATTCACGCCACCTAGCGGAAATGTTAGCTTATCAAATAGTGTATCAGTTCCTACGAATTCTTCACCTGTATCACATATTCCAAACGGTAATTCCGGAGACAATCATTTCAAATCTGAAAATCATTTAACTAATGGTTTGCCACAATCTCAACAACCCAACTCTGAAAACTGCATTGATCCTGATATTGAGTTTGTAAGTATTCCACAAAGACAGAAGCGCCAAAGAGAAAATAGTATCGATCACAGTGAAGTTAGTAATAAACGACGTCGTATTGAAGATACTGATATTCGTCGACCTTTTCTCGTTCACTCTGATATTCAATTATCTAGTTATTATCATGCTTACTCAAATCGGTCATCACAGCATTTGTCGTGCGATTCAAATATGTCGTCTGACCAGCTTAGAAATACAAGTAAGTTATACAGTATCTACTTCTTTGTTTTATATTTCTGTTTCTTGTAGAATGATAGGTAAGGAAGCAAGTTATTGAGTAGGGTTGTAGGTCTTTCCAGAGTTAGATGTTTAGGAAGTAGGTATCATGCATCATACCCACTGCTAGTTGAAACAGGTTTATAATAGGTGCAGGTTGAAGTCGTCCATACCATAATACAGCTAGTATCAATAGCTGTCACCTTAACGTTAATGGTTTGCTTTACACGTCATGGTATCCTAGTGCGCTGTACCTGTCAGTGCAACTGTACCCATGCCAGAAAAGTTAGTCGGATAGCAGTGAACCTTATCGTTATAGTGTAGGCTGCATTTGGTTGGAGTGAAGCATTAGCCTCTTGGGGACCATGGTTACACAAAACAAATCCTCTTCCCTTTCGCATATATTTAGAGGACATCAACTATTAAAATGTAGGTTAGTAGCTCACGCATCTGTCTTCACTCCAGCACCGTATGAAGTTGTCAACGAGTACTTTCCAAAAAATTCATCACTTGTGATAAATTTACACCACTTCCGGTTGTCTGTTTTGCCACTCTCACTAACGATTAAACTTTATTTAATAACTCCTGTTTTGTGTAAACTGCATGTCAGAACTCCCAACATCCGTACTCTGCGTCAAGTCAACCAACAGGATATACTGGTCAAACTTACATTCCACATCACGAATGTATGTTGCTTTTGTGAGGTCACGTTTTCCTGACCACCCTGTGTTAATACTACATATTTCACATTTTGAATAGGTATCGGTCAAAAAGTCAACTCCTGAAATTCCAGCAGCGTCGATGAAACAAGTCTGAAAGTGGGAAGCACATGTGTCAATCAGTTACTGACTAACAGTTGCATGTCCAGCTAAATTGGTTTGCGTGAAAAAAAGAGACCGTAACACTATCTGTATACTTACGAACCGATCAATTCTAATTTTGATAAGATGAAGAATGAATTTTATCAAGCGCCATCAAGTTTGCTGCAAAATGTAAAAGGTTCATATATATAGTCATTAAAAAAAGTGAATTTCATACTCACAAGCGGAAAAGTTTAGGTATTTGGGAAAACAAATTAAGGCCATCTGTCTAATTTATTGCTGATAAATCGAAAATATTGGTTTTCTTTAACACTTTTTGTAGATGATCACCTGTTGCTGGTTTTCACTAACTTGAAATATGCGAGTTCTCCAGTCATCGGTAGGAAACCAGTTGTACACTAAGATACATAAGCTCGATAGAAGTCAGTGGGTGGGGACCAGTAAATGATTGCCACTCCCCATGGATCATCTGGGTGAAGTTAAGCCAAGCGTTAATCAGTGTATGTGTCTACCACTAACCGAAAAGATGAAATAAGCAGTATTGAAGCATGTCCACTTTACAGTTGAAAGTCTCAAATATGTTTTAGAAGGAGCTGATGAAAAGACTACTGTGAAATAAAAAATTATTCATCCTAAAACACTTAAAAGCATCTCCATTCTTTTGTGGAAACGACCGAAAAAACAACTAAGAACATGCTGTCAGAAGTTAATGAGAGCTAATGACGTAAGCTGACTCACGCCAAGGGTCATTCTATTTGTCTCCAAATATTAGGAAAAGTAAAGACTTCTCAAATATTAACTGACTGGAAGTCGAGCAGAACATCTCGAGGAGCGCTTTTACCGCGTCACATTTACGCAGCATCAAATCCCGGCCTAAATATGGTATATATATATATATATGGGTGTATTTATGCTTATCAAACCACTTCTTTGCTCGATAAGTTGTTATTTGATGCAGAACTAGGCTGATTGAGGCTAAGTGTAGTTAGACCTAAACATGGCACTAATACACAAAATGAGTTTAAGCCACATAGAGAAATTTAGATTGTCTTACTATGAGGTACTCAGAATGTCCTTAATCAGTTGCTCAAAATCGATAATACATTTCTGAGGGTAGCCTTTGTTCTTCAACATCTTTTCGAGAATCATAAATTCCTCCTCCAATTTTTCTTAGAGGATGTTCTCGTCGCTCTGTAGAACAGAGTTTTGATCAGTGCTCGTTAGAAGCTATTCGAACAGAAACTATTAAAGTGTAAGTATTGTCCATTCCGTGTAGGTTTCCAGTAAACTGATCTCAGTACACTACCATCTTCCAGACGCTGCATGGCAGTGTCAAGGAATTGGAACTTTCCATCATTTTCATGTTCCATAGTAAATTCAATATTTGTATGTGCGTCATTGAATCAAACTTGAATCCGAGTAGGTAGGACGTATGACTTCCATTGTTGCATACTACAAATGTGTCATCGAGATATCGGCAATAAGAAGTTATTTCGTCGATTACATGCTTCAACTTTTTTCTCTTAAAGTTTGACATGAAGATATCTGCTCAAACAGGGCTAATTGGACTGTCCTTGGCTACACTGTCTATTTAACGGTAAAGTCTGTTGTCAAACTGGAATTGTACATCCATGAGTGCACATTAGCAGTAGGCATTTGAATTTCGACTCTGGGAGTGGGAGAAGATCCGAATGGTGACAAATGATATTGGTAGTTTCATTGATTGGGATCCTTGTGAACAAGGCTACCGACGTTTCTCTGTTATATCACTACTGCTGCATTTATTTCCTCTTCTATAATGCATTCTTTTTTGAATTTTGATGGTGTAAACCCATAAACATTTATGCGAAGTCGTATGCTTTTTTTGCATAGTTTTGTGTTAGCTATTTCATGGAAGTTTAAAAGTTATCCGACTGAAGTTTGCGTGATATTTTCAAAAGCTCACAATCAAAGACTGAAAGTCACTCACGATTATGCATATGTATGCTACTGTGTCTAAATCTATCATGTTGTTTAGTATTAAGTTTTGATCAGTGTTTTATCTAGTCAGTAGACCAATTGATTCGAAATCACTGTGATGTTGATTTAGCTTAAATGTAAATATGAATTAACTATCTCAACCATCGCTTTGGACTGAACAACAAACTGATATTGCAATGCAATAGTCATTGTGATTGAAACGGTTTGAGTTGTGAAAGGATTTGAGATTATTGGCTTTCGGGCTACTGGCTAAACTCTTCATTGGATGGAATACGATACACAACTATAAGTTCGGCCATGTTTGTTCATCAGTTATTGGTGATTTTATATAACCGTCATATGAATACACTAATTACCTGATTGTTAATAAATGTGCAAAGTCGTTTCTTATATATTTGTTACGATTGATGTACGTCAACATATGTATGCTTTTCAGATGTGAGTTCAAGTATAGTAAATCATATTTCAAATTCGTCAACGCACAACGTCCTTAGTGATTCAAATGAGCGCTCAGCTGATATCAGTGTAAATGTGAGTTTATTCTTATTGTGTAATGTACTTCTATTTAGTTTTTATGTCAAAAGCAGGGAAATGTTATTGTTTGGTTCTTCTCGAAAGTACTTGAAACGTTCTTTTAATTCTCTTCTAAGATTTGTTAGCATTGCTCAACACAAACGCGTGGTTACTGTCACTCATTGTATGAGGCATTTTAACTGTAGTATATCGTCACTAGAGTGTTTTGTGATGTCAACTTAATAGCTATGTGAAAAAAGGGAGATATTCAAGGCGTTTAACGTTTAAATATAAATGAAGTCATTATATTTTCAAGTATTGGTTTGCGGGGATTTAATTGATTTCAGTTTTGATTAGGAACTGACTTTAGTTAGACAACTACTGAAAACCAGGGAGTACTGGACAGATGTTTCGTCCTTCCGTGGGCCTCTTCAGGATACACACGTGATTTCATCAATGACTGAACCGGGTAACTTCAGGTTACAAAGTGAGCTCGCTGGTCATCCAGTCGCTGGGACGAAATCCAACAGCCCATCAATTCTAACTTCTGCCGTTTCACATTATGTAGCGTGACGGCCAGCCAGTTTCATCGGTGAGTTTCTGTCCAGTGTTCCCCAGTTCTCAATGGTTTACTAACTAAACTGAGTTTGTGATCAAACTTGAAATAAAGTCATTACAGTTTTATTGTAATTAATGGTAAATGAGTTTAACGATATAGGTAGCTTGTTTTCTTTGCTATTTTGTTGATAATAAACTTCGTACTGTCTTTCCACATGCCTGTCATCCGTTTTTGAGAAGCGGTTGAAAGATTCAAATGGCTAACGTATAACCACCAAACCAGAAGTGGTCTTTTTATGTGTTATCAGTTGTGATTACATGTATTCTATTCATTTCGAGGACTAGTCTAGTAGCCAGTTTGCAGCATATTCACCCGGAGATTGTATCGCAGTATATTTCACTACAGTTACTCAGTCCCATGATAAATTATAAGTCGTTATATTATTATTTTATTCCTTTGAGTTCTCAGTGGAATATAGGTCCTCAAGCTCTAATCTTTGAGGTTCCAGTAGTGATAAAGTTGCTAGCCTCACGTCCAACGTTCCCTCCCTACTGAGCTGACTATCAGCTAGGTGAGTTTTATGAGTGCATCGGTAATCGAACCCCGGACCACGTGAGGTGTCGTTAGCGAGCATCCTACCGCTCGACCACCGATGCACAAATGAATCTTCAATTATAAATCTTTCTGTAAAGAACACTTGGCAGTTACTGATTATTGGTCATTTCATGTTTTTGGTTATTAATTTTCTTAGACCTTTCATATCAGTTTAATATTATCCGTTCGAAACAGATTGCATGCATCTCACTCAGTTTTAATTTACACTTTTTGTTTCTGTAGAGTGATTATATGCTTTACTAATAGTTGACTATGTCATGATTCCTTGAATTCTTTAGGCGGATGAATATCCTTGGCTTAAGGATAACCAACGTAAGTGTACTCAGTTAACTGGTTTCGCTGATTGGTGTTCTTTGGATACATGTAATATGCTACGTTTGGATAAGCATTTGCATTCTGCCACTACTACTTCTACTACTACTGCTATGACAAGTACTATCAACTCTTCGTCAGAGAACTCATCCTTTCAATCGTATAATGTTTTTACATATGAAAAAGAATCCAGTATATGGAATATTGTTAAGGATAAATTTTCTTTATTCTGGACAAACCCGAGGTAAATATTTACAGTGCATAATCTTTTTAACTAATTATATAAAAGTCGAAAATTCCCCGATGTTGTGACTTAGGCAATTTCATAAGCAGCATTTAGTATTTAGTTCGACTCGTCTTTTTTTTCTTTCCTGCGTTAATCTTCCTTCGAATAATCATAATATTCAACAATGATGTTCAATTAATTTTGAAGAGTTAGTTTGTAGGGATTCGATTTGTTTTCAGTTAGGGAACCATTAAAAGTCAGGGAGTACTGGGCAGCTGTTTCATTCTACTTTGGGACTCATCAGTAGTAAGCACCCACTGGGGTTCGAACCCGGAACCCTCCGGTTTTAAGACAAGCTCGTAGACCACTGAAACCAATAATATTCGACTGAAGGGTCCATGAATTCTGATTTCTACCAGTATGCTCTGGTTTTCAATGTTTCTCTAACTGATATCAATACGTGGTCAAATTGAAAACAAGTCAAATCCCTATAAACGAACTCTTGAAAATAATCTGATACTCGCTAGTGACTGGCTGAAGTTTCCTAGAGTTCTAGTGGCGAGAAGTTGTGACCAGTGAGTTCCACCCAGTTGGTAGTGAGGACAAAGACTCACCGATGGCGTTAATTGAGGCCAGTCGCGCTAAAATTGTGAACTGGTAGAAGTTAGAATGGATGGACTGGCCATTGGATCGGGTCCCAGTGGCTGGATAGACTACGAGCTTGCTTTGTAACCGAAAGACCCCGTGTGTTCGAACCGTTGCTCTGGGTGCGTACTACCGATGAGTCACAATCTAGGATGTTCACTTGTGTGTGTACATTCTCAAACTCCTGACGTAGTCCTTTCCTTTAAGTCACTTGATGAGATTTGAATATTGTAACCAGAATTAAAACATAGCGATATATTTTCTTCAACTTCAATGAACACTTGACAAAATCTACTGGCAAGTGTAAGAAGTGTATTAGTTAGTTTATGTCGTTTATGATGTTATGTACTACTGATTGGTGTTAGTATTTGGAAAACGTTAACATCGACCAGTAGTAGTGCTTGTTAGCTAGATCGAAATGATCTCACCACCGAACGGCTGTTTTGGTCGATTAGAAAAAAGCCCATTAAGTGGTGTACCCTATTCGAATTAGGTAAGAGAGCTGAATCAGTTCAAAACACGCCAAATTCTGGCTAGCCACTTGGGCGAACTTTTAATACACATAATCGAACTCGCAATTCACAAACTACACAGTCCGAAGTGAAAATTCGGCGAAAACCACCTCGAGCTGTACAACTTACGAATCTTGAATTCGATTTGATATCTCATGATTCATGTTTATTAAACATGAAACCCAGTATATAAATACATTAAAGATCTTTGCAGATAGGTCATATATATATATATATATATATATATATGCAGACGTGGCGCGGACATTTCATGTTTCCATGCATACTTTTGCTTTCATTTGAGGAAGACTCATCATCTGATTGGTTTCTCGAAGGCTTTCACCCGTCCTCAAATTGAAGTTTTCCAGATTCCTGCTAAGGATAAGTATATATTCTTCTCTCTGCCTTGAAATTTCAGCAGTAATGCGGTTGCTGTATTTCGGAGTTTGGCTGCTACAGCCACACTCAAACTTTCCTCTTTTCCGGATTTAGGACTGACTAGTGAACTAGGCAACGTCTAAAGAGATAATAATAATTATTATTAATGCTAGTTGTAATCAATAACTGACTGCAGATCAACTCTTCTTTTTTTCGCGTTTAGTATTTTATGCACACGTCCTCGTGTTATTGCAACGCCCGCACGATTGACTTCACGTATTGGACCTGTTGATCTTGAATTATTGAACAAAAACAAATCTTCATTATCATTAATTGATATACATTGTCCTCATGTATCTTGGCCTATGTGTATGCATCATTCTACCGTTTTAAAAATCAGTCGGCTTCTCTACCCATTAACAGAACAAGCGCGTTTATTATCAATGTCATCTGTTCCGAATATTGGATTTCAGCCTTCATTATCATCTGTCATTCGTACTAAGATCGCTCGTGATAATCGTTTATCACCACTTTGTCGATTGTTTTCAGAATCTGGTAGGTTGATTTACTTATTGCGCCGTGGCATATGCAGGGGAATGTTTTTGATTAATGTTAATATTGTTATTATCATTACTGTTACTGTTTTTGTTTATAATACGAATCTTTCAATTAAAAAACCCAAATATGTTTGCATATTTGTAAAAGAAATTTGTCAAATAAACAGTGTGGAGCTGTAACTCACTGATCTAGGCACTTGACTTCCAATCAGTGGGTCGTGGGTTCGAAACCAATTCCGCTCACTGAAGTTTGAACTAGACTTCACACAATAAGTGTGTGACTCATTCCTAACTGCATGGAATTGCAAGTGGATGTTAAACAATATTGCATAAAGTAACCCTTTGTAGTCAGAAGCACACATAATTTCAGTTAAAAGTAAATAAATTTGTGCGTTATTACCGGATCCAGTTACTGATCAAGTTGAAAGTTACCAGTTATTGATTTGTTACATAGCAATCATATTATAGTAGATAAACGAATAGAAACTGTCTTTTTTCAACGTATTTTAGTTGTTTTTTTTTATAATTCTTGAAAACAAAAAGATTAGCTGTCAGTCAACCAACAGTGTCATTTTTGTTTTTGAAAATAAAAGATTCACTTACGTAGTTTTTATTCTTTAGATGTCTAATTTATAAAGATTTGGTGAATTCCCAGATAGATGTTTTCATGATTCAAAACTGTTTGGAGAACTAATAAAAAATCTAGTAGCTTTAGGTTCGTGTTGTTTTTTCCCGACAGTGAGTCCCCACGACCAAACGTCAGAGAGTGACTAGTTGCGAGATGAATTTCCTAATGTCTTAATAAAAGGTCATCCATTAATTTGGATATGACAATATGATCTCGGCTTCTTTGCAATGGACTGGACTGGTTTCAACATAGAACTTTGCACTAATGTGCAGTAGTTCGAGTCACCACACTCCACGTAGCACACAAAGCCAGAGAAGAAAGTAAAAAGAAATGCAAAATAAAGATAGTACACAGAGATATGAGGCAAAAAGAATAGTAATATCTAAAAACAATATAGTTTTATTGGGTATTATAAGTCACAAGGAGTGGATGCCTCTGCACCAGCCATTGAGAACGATTTTGAGCCATATCGTCAATTGTCTCCAGCCATTGGTATTTACCGTCCCGAGGGCACCAAACAGGAAGTCTACACCTCCATACGTGACTGGCCTAAACTAACTGATGTGCATTTCATTGACTGATGAAGCCGTGTTTCGGTTGCCTGTTGTTGAGGGAGGCGATAGCTAGGCATACGTAACAGATTTCCTAACCATCTCAGTCGATGTAACTTCACAGCCTCATTGATTGATTTCCCCTCCTTACCTAGCACTCGACCAACGCCTAACCTCAATATTGCTCACCTTATTATACCACTTCACACGGGAGATAGAACGCAGGCACCTATGATCAGAGACAGCTCTCCAGTCTTTTCATGTCTTCCACTTTCCACGACCATGTCTCGCTCAGCCATAAAGGAGGACGGAGCGAACTGCTGAGCAGTACACACTCCCTTTGTTTGACGGCCGGATATCACATCTACTAAGTCATAAATGGCGTAAACTGACATATGCGAAACGAACCTTCCGTATCCGTGCAATAGTAGTATTTGGACACACCTATCTTATATACTATTTCAGGTAGTTTTATCACAGTAGACAAGTTCTGAACCCTCTATTTGAATAGTTGGTTGTGGCTCATTTGGCTTAAACAGCACTTGACTTTCAACCAATGGTTTCCGGTCTCGCAGCCTTGTTCGCCTACTTCAGCCTAACCAACTGGCGTAGTATCACCAGCTTCCACAAAATATATGTAGCTAATAGCCTGTTTCAAGAAAACACTGTTCCGGATAACTAAGTACTTATCTATATGTACTACGTACTTGCAAATTACCACCCTCTCTCAAAAATATTTGACGTATTACAAAATCGCATACTGAATCAACAGAATCTCTAATTTCAAAATTAAGAAGTGAAGGCACCCTATCAATAGTTTGAATACAGTATGCCGGATCAAATTTATCAATTTCATGCAAGGGCTTCAACAAAAAACATGTGCGAATTTTTGCAAAAATCTGTCGAAATCCCTGATAAAGCAGAAGCTGCATGAAGTCTTCCCGGAAAATCCTGAGGAGTTTATCTATAATCTGTCGAGTCTGAAATTAAATCGCATTGAAATGGAAGCATTTTCCCTTGGATTTAACTTTCATATCCCGAATAGCTTTGTCAAAAGAACCAATGTCGCAGCTCATTTCGATAACTCATTCTATCAGCCGAATGGCCTTACTCCAGTTGATTAGGACAAAAGGACTGGTTCACATCTAAGCTGGTCTACATTGCAAATCAGTACCTCATTTCACTAACTTCATATTCAAAATCTTTTCTGAGGACCATCAAAAGCTCTCAGAAATCATGATAAAATCGTCATATTGTTACTTGAAAAAGAGTCAGGGGTGGTGCTGATGGACGAAGATGACTACACTGCAAAGATAAAAACTGTGTTAAGTGACCCGTAAGGTTTAGAATTGATGATTACCAGAAAGACAGGACTGATGAAACTGAAAAAAAGGATCACAAACGTACTGAGAAATCTTCTACAGAAGAAATTGATTGACAACAGTGCTTACAATGATTTAAAATCCCAAGAGTCTCGTTTGCCTCACATTTATGGCCTTCCAAACTCACACAAAAAACAAGTCCTGCTGAGACCTATACTTTCCATGATCATAAACTTAATAATAATCTATTTAAGCTGTAAACAGCTGACGAGAAGCCAACGAAATAAACGATGGTACCATGTTATTTTGCACAAACTGTTATTCTTGCTTGATTCAAACTGTATTTATCACATGATAACTGTTGTTGTGTAGTATTTGCTTTTACTTTTCTTATTTTTTTCTCTTTCCAGGTAAATTTTATCATCTACATAAAAAATTATCTCAGCTGTTGGGTGTAAAGTTGAAGGGTGAAAAACGTCCACGTTGTATATACTTTATAGCGCATCAAACAGCTTTTTTAGACTTATTAGAAGCTTATTTATCTGTCTCATCATGGAGACTGCTTTGTCGTCTGCGTATTCCTTCAGATTATCAATCAGTTAGTGCAAATACATGTGTGCTACTTGATCGTATTAATTATTGGCCATATGGTACAATGGGTCCATTATTAGTATTAATACATGCGCGTAGTCCAGCTTCATTGCTGGTTAGTTTACGTGCTGATCCAGGTGTGCATATAATAATATGTGATGTTGACTGGCGAACAGAAGTGACAGATAATTTAAAAGCTATGTAAGTGCATATATATATGTATACATAGGTATTTGTTAACAAGCTCATTTATTTCCCTTAGAAATTTAACCATTTATAAAGTGAATCATTGTCGTCAGTGCTTGTATCTCGTTCAGAGATTCGACGTGTCATGAAGAACATTTCCATCAGACTTCATTCTTCCATCAACAGCTGCCTTCTCTAGCTCCATACTGAAGGTCAGATGGTCAGAAAGGATAAGCAAGAAGTAACCCTGACAACAAATCAATGAAGAATCTAGCACCCAACAAATATGCAGAAGGAAATAGATTAGTCTTACACTATGGAGGCTGTTGAGTGACATCTCGTGCCAGAGACAATAAGTTGGGCGTGTATCTAAGGGTGATACGAAGGAGATCGTGTGAGGAGAAGATGAGAGCTAATGGTCAGTTGTGGAGCTATCTAAATAGAATAGTAGAAAACAGGATAAAATGGCGATGTGAAGCTATATGTTCCAATCGGAACTCAAGGGAATAATAAAACGTGTCGCAAAAATTCTATATCTAACTACCCATTTTTTTGTTCTTGTTTCTTCTAACAGTACAATAGTTGACTAAATTAAATGTAAATCATATGGTGAGTTGTACAATGATTAGAAAGATATAAATATCAGCCAGACTAATATCAGTATCATTAGTGTTTACAGGTGTATTCTGCAGGTACATTTCAATACTCAGGATATTTGACTGCAAACTTTGAAAGTTTCTAGTTGAAAAAAAACTGATAGTAATGTAGAGTTCAAAGAGATATTGTACGAAGGATATTGTTATTATTCATTCTTTGCGTTCCTGATAGAACTTAGAACTTTCAGCGACACATCCCCATTTCACTCGCTTCTCTACCATCACTTTCGGTTGGCTCCATGACTGCTCACAGAAGTGTATTTTGCTCTTCACAGGATCTCTTGGACGCCCAAGTCGTCGCCTCCTATTCACTTCCCCTTCGAGGGCCTAGCGTGTGATGTTACTTATTTGGTCTTTTTAGTATATATCCAATCCATCTGTATTTCCTTTCATGAAGGATATAAATGCAAATCATTAATACTGATAAAAGTACATTCATTTTGGTAGTCGTCGTTCATATTTTAAGGATTTCAGTGATGAGATCGTAGACGTTGCCTAAAATGATATATTGATATTAACGTATTGAGTCCTCATGTAGTGACATAAGGGAATACGCCATTTTTTCATATTTACTACGAATGGTATGATAAATATAACTTGTTCAACGTAGACTGGGTTTAAATTATTTGATATTTGCAATGCTACAAGTGCAACTCCAGCAGAAACATACATTGAATGATGGTATAGATTCTCTTTGTTGAACCATTGTACTACATCTTCTAGGTCAAGTTGAGTACACAGACAGTGTAGTTCTTTCATTTGAGAAAGTTTACAAAGTTGAGTGTTCTGAAAAAAAGTAAGTAAGCTAAAACCTCCAAATGTACGATGATGCTCGATATTTCTTATTTTAACAACTTGTTTATTGTGATAATTATCTTTGTTAGTTACTGTCTGCACGGTGTATGGAGTTATGATTTAGTTTTAGCATTCAACTTTCAACAACTGAGCTGTGAGTTCGAACTCTGCTCTGTCTACTGGGATTCAGGCACACAGGTCATATAATCACTTCTTACAAATTGGGTTTAACTCTCTACCAACTACATGTGAATGTACATATTATGGTTTTCGAGTAACACATTATATCATCATAGAGAGAAAGTTACTGAAATCAACTATTCACTAGCGTTTTCCTTAGTTCATTTGTAATTTATTAGAAAGTATTTCAATTTTTGTATCCATATACAAATATTTATTCCATTTAGTTCTATTCATGGTAGAAGAATAATTCACTGGATTAATAATGTATAATCTTATAAAGCTTAACTACTCACAATTACACTTTAAATTATACTGTACGATTTAAATATATTTATTCTTTTGTTTTATATTGTAAAATCGACTACAGTATTCATAGTTGGGTTTTGAATGGATTATCGTCCTTCCCTTCCTCTACTGAATACAATAAAGACTATAATTCTGGTATACAAAAAGTGAATACTTATCGCTTATTGTCAAGTGGTGATTTTGGTTATTCAATTCCACGGATGACTGTAGAAGCTTGTCTGCTACGTGGTGTAGCTTGTCGTCTATTACCACGAGCTGTATTTCATGCTCATTCTACAACGCACGTGAATCGTTCTTCTCTACTATTTGCACGTGTTCAACCTAATGTTGTCAATGGATTATTATCTGGTGTATATGCAAGAAAGTTGACACATCGTTCACTTATGCAAAAAATTAAATCCGGTGAAATTGATCGTTTAGATATATTCAATGATCGTAATTTCTTTGCACCTATTAAACAGGATACATTGTCTTATTCATCAGCCTCATCTATTGCCTCATCATTCTCGTGTACAGGTCCAGATAATCGATTAGATGAATTTGGTAATGAGAGAACAGGTGAAGAAGATGATGTGATATTATTTCAAGAAAGAGAGCCATTAAGTGAACAACTTGTGAGTGTTATATTGCCTGTTTTTTTTTTTAAAAAAAGTATGTTAATGTGACACAAATTATTCCTATTGTGATTAGTCACCAGTGTCATGCGTCTAATCTGTAGTTTTGGTTCAGACTGAATTCTGCGATGTTGTCACTAAGCAAAGTGGTTTTACATCGCAGTGTACTCTGAATTGATACCAGAAGCCAGTCGATAGGAAGCAATGGACTTCAGCAAGGCGTATCTGCAATCTTAAAGGATCCGATATCCTCTCAGAAATTCGAACCCGTATCACCCATTGCTGTAGTCAGAGACGTTACCACTTAACTATTCAGGGACATAAGTTCCTTCAGCGTTTCAGATATTTCCAGCTGACAAGTACCAATATGAACAGGTGTACTATTATTTTACCTGTAAACTAGTGTCTCTTTGTATGTTGAATAATAAAGCAACCTGGATTTAATATTTCCTACTAATTTTGCATTCATAAATCATGATGGTATATTAGATTTCACTAAGTGGTATTTTGGTTGACATATGTCTCTCTTTTGATTGTTGATAGATGCATTACACTGTTTATAACTGAAGACATTCAATAATTACTCACTAGAAGTCTGTTTGACGACCCGTTGTGGGTAGATGCATCATTAAGAGCATAACTTAATTTACGAAAATGGTCAGCAAATCATAGACAACATTCAAAACTATAAATTTTAGTTACTGCTTAAACATATGAGCATATATATATATATATATATATATATATATATATATATATATATATATATATAGCCATTTAAGATCAATCCTAGTCATCGTTAAATTATTCTCTTCAGCAATGGAAATGTAGTTCAGTTGTCCAAGCACTCGACCACCAACCACTGGATGACGGACTCGAACTCCTTTCCACTTATCAAAGTTTGGTTAGCCAGACAGTATCATTATCTGTCACACAATAGGTGTGGTATCCACTTGTAATACCTCTTTTTCGTGTATTTTTTCACAAGCTTAGGTATTACTTAGCAGTTGGGAATATAAGTATTCATGAATAATCCCTATGGAAAGAATCAAGCAAGTAGTTCAGGGAAGAGGCTGTCTTTTTAACAAATTCATTTCCTTTAACTGTACAGTTGCATTTATATACATTTTTTGCACGGTAAAGGATAGTGACAAAAGTGTTGAGTTATAATTATCATACTTGTTAATATTGAGCAATGCATAAAAGGAGTTGAATAAAGTTATTACAGTTACGTAATAGGATAAATAATTTAATGAATGAGTTGTAATCAGGATGCACATTGAAACAATGGAAAATGTGATATTACTTAAAAGTTCGAAAGAAACACAAAAATTATAGAGAGTTAAAAAACAAACAAATAGAGATCAGTTACAGGATTTCATCCTGAGCTGACATTAGTTAGAGAACCATTGGAAAACCTGGGAGTACTGGACAGCTGTTTCGTCAGCCTAGCTTGGGACTCTTCAGCAGAACGCACCCACCGGGGTTCGAACCCAGGACCTTCTGGTTACAAGGTGAGCTCGTATACCATTAGAGATCAAGTTGATAGGAAAAAAGGTCGTTCCCTAGTATGCGGAAGCCTGAAAGACAAGATCCCGCCTTCTATGTGAATGTAGGTATTAACCTATTCCCCCACACCCCTTTTAAAGCACATAATTGTTTCTTTAAAACATTCGCATTTCATAACTTTCAGCTGCATCGGGCTCTAGAGCTCTTTGAAGATCCAACTGATACGCAAGCATGGTGTTGTACAAATGCAGAGAGAAAAGCCATTGCCAATGAATTTATTCCTATAGAAAATGAAATAGATGATTCTTATTCAATAAGCAGTGACAGTGATATTGAAGATGACGAGGATGACTATCAGATTGAGGATGAAAGTGATGAAGTTGATGATTCTGAAGAAGATATTATTATTAATGATGAATTAATCACTAGTGAATTAAATACAGATTTTATCCAATCTATAGAAGAAGAATACAAGGAAAATTCTACTGGTTTATCTCAGTCTGACTTATCAAAACAATTGGGTTATAGTGATTTAATTGAATGGGAATTTGCCAATTATGAGCTTTTAACGCGTATCTCAGATCTTGAAGATCAATTATATCCATCGGACAATGATTGGTTAACTTATCATTATCCTGTTCATGAGAATTTTACACCTGATCCGTGTGAACAACACCTACATCAATCACAGGATGTAGAATCTACTGCACAAACATTTCCTCCTTCATTAACACTCTTTTCTCAACTCCCGGTGAGTCTACTTTTTATAACTTGTTTTCTTTTTTTGGTGTATTCTGTTGAATATTCTCCAGTGTCATGTATTATTAAATCAGTTTTTAGAAATTCTTGACAGTATTCAGTGTTTAATGTACCAAATCAAACTGTGAAAGTCATGTGCAGGAATATTCTGGTTCTTGAAGACTTACCTGCTTAAATGTGTAGCTCATAAGAATCCGTACCAATGTGAAAATTCTCTCGTCTCTTTTACTATCAAGTCTGTATGCTCAGTCTTAAACTTGTCTGTCTGTCTGTCTGTTTTCGACATAGAACTTTGCACATATGTGCGGCAGTTCAAGTCGCCACACTCCATGTAGCACACAAAGCAAGAGAAGAAAGTAGGAGACATGCATAATATAGACAGTAAACAGAGGTGTGAGACAAGGATAGTAATAACGAAGAACAAAACAGTTTCATTGGAAATCATAAGTCACAAGGAGTGGATGCATCTGCGCCACTGAGAACGATTTTGAGCCATGTCACCAATTGTTTCCAACCATTGGTTTTTACCGTCCCGAGGACCCCAACCAGGAAGTCTACATCTCCCTACGTGGCTTAGACTAACTGTTGTGGATTTCATTGACTGGTGCCATGTTTTGGTTTGACCGCCGCTAGCTCTTTTCCAGCCTGACCCTATATCAGCTAACATTGCCCGTCGGGGAAGGCATGACTGGCATACGTAGCACATGTCCCAACCATCTCAGTCGATGTAATTTCACAGTCTTGTCGATTGATTTCCCCGCCTTACCTAGCACTCGACGCCTAACCTCAATATTGCTCACCTTATTATACCACTTCACGCGGGAGATGGAACGCAGACACCTATGATCGAAGACAGCTAATCTTTTCATTTCTTCCGCTCTCAATGGCCAGGTCTCACAGCCATAAAGGAGGACGGAGCGGACTGTTGAGCAGTACACACGCCCTTTGGTCGATAGTCGGATATCGCGTCTACGCCAGAGACGGCGTAAACTGGCGTATGCGAACCTAGCCCTCTGTATTCGTGCTGAGATTTCGTCGGAGACAACCCGTTGGGGCTGATGGTACTTCCCAAGTAAGTGAAGTGGTCAACGTGCTCTACCACTTCACTTCCTATTTCTAATCTAGGGGTCGGTGAAGTCCAATCCTGCAGCATCATCTTACATTTTACAGGGGCGAATCGCATACCAAACATACGAAGATTGCAGCTCAAGGTGTTCAGTAGACTCTGCATTTTGTCAGAGTCCTCGCCTAGAAGGACTATAGTCTTAAACTTGAGGTTCATCAATAACTATTCATGTATTTAAATTAAATATCACGTTACTTCACATTGGTAACTTTTAAGTATTTTTAAAATATTCACAATAGATATGTTGTTAGTCATTCATCTGCTAATCTTACAGTACTTATTTGCTTAAGTGAACTTTTATAGACGTTGTGATAATGATGTCTGATGGTTAACACGATTTGATTTTGTTAATTGTGACTGGCGGTAGACTCCAGGATGAACATTTCGTCCTGGACCGTTAACAAAGACCGAGTATTTCAATCCAATAGGAATCAATCAATAGGAATTTGAAATTAGCATCAATAGATAACAAGTGATACCTGTTTCGCAAGTGGTGGCTGTTGTGGTCCATATGACTTAGTGGATAATGCTTTAACGTTCAAAACAAAAATGTTCTAGGTTCGATTTGCACTGAGAGAACACCTCGACTCTATGAGGATATGGGTACATTCAACTGACACGACTTCCAGTTAGGAGGGAATGCGTATCGCATCCTGGATTTCGCTCCTAACCACCAACAAATACATGGCTACACTACTGAGTTGTTCTTGATTTGCCAATTCTGCAGAAAACTTTACCGTCTCGTATCTTCTATTCTTTAGTTAAATTTAAAAATTATTTTTTGTCTGAACAACTTGACATAGACGTGTTAATTCGATATTATTTGATTTCTCTGATGATTGATTGTCGCAAATATGACTTTTTGTTTAGGTTCACGTAGTTTTGTAGTTTAATCGATTGACTGCTACACTAATGCTTATCAATACTTTTTATCAGCCAACATACTATTTACTATGTGATGATTCGCCATAGCTGACTCATTGCTTTATGTCAGGCTAAACTACTTATCAAATCAGGGTTCACAATAATTTACAAAGATGAAAGTTAGCTTGATAAAGGGATAAAACTGTGGTAGATAAGGATTATGGATAAAATTTTATTTTAATCATGTATATGAATGAAACAAGAAAGTTGTGTGAATACCTTGATATGATTATGAGCAATAATTTGTACTCGAAACGTCATCAGTAAATATTTCTGTGTGATTTTATCAAAATAAAAGACAATGGTCTGTTTAAAATTTCCTGAATAATAATAATAATTCAGTAATTTTCTTACTTCCATTTTTTGTTTCTTTTTTCATGCAATAATGATTGTTTGTTAGGTATGGTGTCCTTTTGAATCACATCTAAAATATCTACATACCGAATCAAATGCCTCGGAGTCTTCTTTCCTCCATTTGAAAAATGAGTGTGAATTACCCCTACCTGGTGAAGATTCAAATGATTGGATATCAAGTAATCTTGAATTTGATTGGGGTTATGAAACTGTTCCAATGGCAGAAAGTGAACTTCCACCTTTGATTATTGCACCAGTTGTACAGAATAATATAACTACTACTGTTAGCACTACTACTAAACAATAATAATACTAGTAGTAATATTACTAATAATGATATAATGGCTGGACAATTAGCTAGACGACGTCCAATAGTAAATCATCCATCTTTGTCATCTCGATCAATGAATGATAACAATGCACATATACTACCTTATCGGAGTGGTTCACGATTGAATAATAAAAATCTTAAACGGCGTACACTACCAACTAATATCAACTCTAGTTCTCGTAAAACTGCTTCTTATCCTACTATAGATGATTCCTCAACTGCTCATGGAGCTTTGGACACTAGCTTCACTGGTGGTAAGGCTTTTCTATGTTTATTATTTATTCGCCGAAGTGATTTTTAAACTAACGTTTGGTGATTGGCATATTTATATGTAATGCAGTTTATATAATGTTGTAAACACCTTTCAGCAATTATTAGTCAAAGATGTAATGTGTGTCTGTATGTGTTATTGAAGGTATATCGTAGTCACAGGATAGTCTATCTGACAATCAGATATCCATTTCTTTGCATTTCTGACATATCCGTGTTGTCACTTGTTTAGCCGGTGGCTAGCAGTAGAATCCAGGACACACCTTTCATCCTATTTTGGACTCGTCAACTCAGTGTGTCTACATCCATAGTGACTTATGATGTTGTTCCATGTGAGACATGAACCCAGTATTCATCTTTTCAAACGTTCACCGAACAACAGGTACATCCAGCTAATGAGTCTCAAGTAGGATGGAATACTCATTCTGGATTTTACTGCTAGCTGCGTTCAAACAGGTAACTTTTAGTCATTAAACCTGATAATTTTGAGGCATTCATTCCAAGAGTCGATATACTGAAATAAGGCGATTCAATTCACTCTAGAGATATATGAACAGAGAAAAACTGGAATATGAAATTTTTTTGGCAGTTCAGTTATGAACATGAATTCATGTTCCCAGTGGAACAAAAGGCTTCAGCAGCACATTACCACTTCACTCTATTCTCTGTAGTCTTTTTTAGCTGACTTTCCGATTCCCTATAAGCCTTCTTTTTCCTCCCTATACTATCTCCTCTGTGCGAGTTAAGTAAATTAAGAGGTGTGCAGTAAGTTATGCATATACTTTAATAAGCTAATTCTACCTTCTATAAAAACAATAAGAAGTAAATACATTGAAACCGCTATCCTGTGTTAACGTTTTCTAACTAGGTGATAATATAATGATAATTTTCAGTGACTCAGATCATCAGGTTAGCCTACCTATCGTCGTAAATTTACCTTATAGTTTGGCGCTATGGATGTCTGTTTTTACCTGCTTCGAAAATATGTACTTACCTACAGAGGAAGATGAAGCTGAATACTTTGAACTGCGACTACCTTTATATATTGATGACTGAATATCCCATTGGAATCACCGGGATGACTCTTAGCATCCTGAGTATGTTTTTTTGGTGTTAATGTGTGATCTTACTGCCTTCACTGTGTCCACCAGATATTGCTTATTAATATTTTTTTATAAGTGTTAGGTATTCAGTGTTATTATCTCCCTAAAACTGTAGTTAAATTTGCAGCATGTGGCGCATTGGTCCAGGATCACACTCCGTTTGTTATGGTGTCTGCTGTCAGGTTGTTCTATTTGTCTAGACCAAGTCATTGTGGCACGTTCCATTCTGGACAAAATTTATTTTGATAAAGTCTCACAGTGTCATACAGTAATACTTACAGTCAATATTACTGTATAACACTGTGAGACTTTATTAAAATAAATTTTATCCACAATGGAATTATACTCTACCAAAGTGCACAATTTCTCTTCTTATATTGTGGCACGTTATGTAGTTCAGAAGCATGCATATATGCATATTTCACTACTAAAAGTTTATAAATGGCAATCTGCTAATGTGCAAGTGAAAATCAGTTGCATCTATTCTTTGATGACTTCACTCGTTGCCCCTTTTTACGGTTTTACCCGTTATCATTCTTGTTCTACGCCTAATTCTCTCACTAATTGTCACCTCGTCTAATAGTAATTCTAGACAAATAATTGATTTTTAGAAGGTACTGTTGTCTTCTTCAGTAGGCACTGGTTTTTACTTTCACGAAGATTTCAGTTTCTTATTTCTTATGAAATGGTTGCAAAAGTAGACATGCTTTAACTAACTTGTTCAACATGACAATGATACAATTAAGTTCGCTTTGTAGGTTGTATTGTAACGACAGAAGACAAGGGACAGGCAACAGATCGTTTGATGAGAAAACCAAGAGATATTTTTAGATTTTTATGTACATTATTATTCGTTATTTTAGCAGAGAAGCAACGTCTTCTGATTGGTTTTTATTGTGGAAGGTTTTTCTGTACTGCTTGTGACCGTTGCTTACAAAGTTGTCTGTATATCTGCGAATCATATTTGCACACGTTAAGTCTGCTGTGATTGGTTGTTGAGTTTCTCAAAATTAGGCTTTGTACTTGTTTTTTCTCATGACCCCGATTCGGGACGTAAACATCGACGTAAATTGTTGTTTACAATTTTGGCTTGCAGACAGCTCTCACCACAGTGTCATACATGAAGTTTCGGTTTTCTGTTTTGATAAATTGTTATTTAACTCTTTTTCAAAAACAAGGAGAAACAGTGTTTTCGTCTTTGTAGAGAGAATTCATGGTTGTTAATCAATTCTTTTCTGTTTCTTCAAAAGCGTACACACATATATATGTTCAAGTGAGTGGTTTGTCAGTGTTCAAAACACGTGGGATAACGACGACTGTCAATGTGTTTTCTCCAAAAATGATATATCTGTTTTCGTTGTTAGCCTTCTGTTAGTAGTTTGAAAGTTAGATTATGTTTCTTTCCCTCTCCTGCTTGAAATTATTTTGCCAACAGGAATAAGTAGTGATGTTCAAAGCGAAATCACTCTCTGTGATTCCTCTCATGTTTTTATGCATGTGTGATTGGATTGTGTTTTCCTATCTGAATATTATCTATTTAGGACTTATATTGCCAGTATACCAATACATTTAACCTTTTGTCTCTCGAGATTGAATACTCTCGTTAATCAATGATATCTAGCTAGTTTATTTTGTAGGTGAACATCACATCTTATTTGTTAACTTTCATCTTTTTTAGCTTCTAACGAAAATGAATCCAGAAGTCAGGATAGTCGTGTGTTAGGTTCACAGTCATCGCGGGATTCCACGCCTTCAGGAGGAACAACTTCAACAACAACAGGAGGTGGTAGTAGTTGTAATGTACCTCAACCTTCAGGTGCTTCTAGTGCCAATAATTATGCCAACAATTCAATTGTCCTTGTGTTACATTCTCAAGGAAGTAATGCTAGTGGGAATTCTGCAAGTTTAAAGTTACATATACCTCGAGTATCTTATAACAAAGATGTGACTAATGCCCGTGTTCATCGACTTCGGCGTATGAATAATATAAATGTTGGGTCAGGTTCAGATGCAGCAGCAGCAGCTATGGCTTTAGCTGCTGGAGCACAGTTATTCCAACAACAACAACAGCAACAGTTTAATTCATCTGGACTGTATCATGAGCATAATCAACAATTAGCAAATGCTGTGGCAGCTGCTACGCAGACATTTAGCCCATGGAATTCGTTTATGTCGAATCCAGCTGTTTTGGCACGTTATGGACAAGGTAATGCGTCACCGGGACGTCATCTTCCATCAGCTCTTCAAAATCTCATGGTAAGTGAAACATGCATTGTGTAACTTTCCATTTTTCGTACTCTCCCTATGGCTGCCTTTTGTTTGAATTCTTCACAATCGTGACCATTGGAGGACACATTGTGTCAAATTATCCACCCAAGCTAGACATTTCCTGGTATCCTTATCTGTTTAGTTAAGGCATGGATAGTCTTGTACGCTATATGGACTTTTCTATTAAGGTATATTATCGTCAGGATTTCATCATCTTTTCCTCCTGGTTTCATATATGAAAGGGTAAAAGAAATGCCCCTTTATATTTATATCATAGTTTGTCTTCAGTCACCTGACGTCAATTGAAAATACACCGTGATGGTGGGTCACCCAGTTCGGTAACCACACTGCAATCTTGACTGATAAAATTCATAAATAAATACAAAGGACTAGGAACATGACTTCAGGTACTCTCTGGGAGAGGTCAGTCGTGAGCCCGAATAGCTAATTGGTGACGTCTCTAACTGCAGGACTGGGTGACACGTACTCGAGTGTCAGTGGAGTATCAGTTCCCTCAGAGTTCCAGATGAATACCAACATACATGAAACGTAAGCTAGGGTCACCTGCCGCGCGCCTTCAAATGACCTAACACCATAGTTTCTTCCAGTTATTGATCCTGTGTGTATCCATTTCGTTCAGTTAAGTATCCAGAAGTTGGACTGTATTTTCGGGCTGAATACAGCCAAATACCTTGTTGATTTCCTCGTCAGCAAAAACTGTAACAAGCATATGTTGTTTAAATTACCTCAGTCTGAATAACAAACTGACTATTTGACTGAGTTTCACCACAGAACTTTGCACAGAAATGCTGCAGTTCAGGTTTATACACTCAGTTTGGCACACAAAGATAGACAAAACAGAATTAAAGAGAGAATTAAAAGGACACTAATTAGCAGAAATGTCAGGGAGAAGGGATAATATCATGCAGAAATATGATAGTTTAGTGGATATGGGGGATCACTAAACATCGTTGCTTGATGTGATTGGATTCCTATTTACTCATTATCAGTTCGTAAGGCATTTGATGTGTACTTTTATTAGTTGCATACGGCAAACGGTCTTTAGAGTTGGGAATAGTGAATTTGTTCATAATCACAGAAATAGGTGATAACGACACAAAGCTGATTAAAGTTTCAACCGGAAAAGGACAGTCTCACTTCATTCCAGCCATTTATGCTGTTTAACTGTTAAACTTTTGTGTAACTGATTAGTTGAAGAGTGAAAGTCATTGATAATCTTGAGATAATTAATGAATGCGTGAGCATAGTTAGTCATTAGTGTATGGTTAACACTCAATTAAATTAATTATAAACAACCTGAGTCGTTGGCAGTCATCCTTCAAGATTGATTTTTCTCTGGCTTTCTTCCTTGAATGTCATAGCCTCTCCCAGGTCAGTCCCATCCACTGCCCTCACGCGATGATAATGTTCCTCGCATAAAATGAGAGGAAGGAGGCAGAAGTCTCGCGGTTTCCAAAGTACTGGTGGACATGCTAATCTACCTAAAAGCGCTAGAAAACTTTGATCCCAAACCCATAGCGTGCATGTGATCCAGAATCTGAACGAATTAAATGGTGTATGGGCTTTGATGTGACACTAGTAACTAGTGTGATTTGTCGGAATAGTCCTTTGTTTGGTGCAGACTGAATTCTATCAGTCGGCTTTGTAATGCGGTCACCATTCTAGGTATCTCGCCATCACGGTGCACATTGATTTGATATTATATGGTTTGAGGCAATTGGCAGGAAGACTTGGACCTAGGTTTCGTGCTAGTTCGCACTCACCAGTCAGCAAGGCGTATCTGCAACCTTGAAGGAACTCATGTCCCTTCTGAGATTCGAACCCGCATCACCCAGTGCTGCAGTCAGAGAAGTTACTACTGAGCTATTCGAAATCGCGATTGACTTGTTTAGGTCAGCCGAAACTATGGGTACACAGCCCCTGAAGCTACTCCACTCCCGTGTCGACCAGGTCCTATGTCGAAGGCTCGACGGATGGCCCCTTTCGGCAACTGCTATCTGCTTCGATTTGGACATCCGAACCGTATCCATGTTTACGTTTTAATAATAATAATACTGTTACTAATATTACTATTATTATTGAATGTGATTTGTTGGTTTTGTTTTCACTTTCCACTAAATTTTGTTGCTTTTTTTGAACTTTCAGCAAATGTCCAACACTTCTCAGTTCCCTGTAATGAAATATTCCACTGGTGGGAATGGGGGTATTGTTGCTGGTGCAGCAAATTTTCCTTTGACTAATACGTCCCCATCATTAGTTGGTATTAATGTAAATGGGCAATTGAATACTCCTATTAATAATGCAGGTCCCAATACTACAGCTCCTATTAATAATAATTCAACACAATTAGCTAATCAATTATATGTGGGTAAACAACTAGATTGGCTGATTTATGAAGAAGCAGCTTTGTATTTAGTAAGTTTTTCTCCCTCTCTCTTGTTTTGCTGATCTTTCTTATTATCTTGTTGAATTGGTAAATCAAACAACTGATAGCTTGGATGACATAACTGAGTAGTAATCATCTCACTATTTGTTTAGTTCCCTGTTTTTTTCTTTTTGAAACGTAAGTCCTCATACTTCTTGAAATCATTTACTACTCTGTTAAGTACTGTGTTGCCGGGTAAAGTTGGTATTAATTGTAATAAAGGAAAAGTAATGTGAGATTTATTGATATGTTAATGTACTGTGTCAACCAAAAGACGTGCGACAGCGAAAGAAAGCAAACTTTAACAACTGTGAAAATCAGTACATTGGTCAAAATGGACACCTTCATCACCTTCGCGTCCATAAACATAAACTAACTGTAATATGCATTCGCTCATGCCAATGCTTACTTACAATTATGAAAATCCATTGAAATAGAAGAATGTACACATCCTAGGCGAAGTAAACACCAACAGAATATGCTAGTGAATTTCTAGAAATCTAATACTCAAACACATTTTGCAATTAACAGTCACAGTGAAATAGAATAAGCTTTATCAGTCAATAAAAAGGAAGTCACAGTGAAAGATGGTCAACTTTCAAGTGGACAAATAAAGTCGGTACCAATATAAGTGGACTAGAGATTGGGAAAATCTCCACAGACAACCAATCACCTGGCGGATAAACTTGTGAAGAATTCTCAAAGCTAACTTCATAGTGAAGTCTGCGTTGATGATGTTGTCTAGAAAGATAATGTGAAAGCTTTGCAACTAAACCATCCTGGTTAGAGAACCACAAATACACCTGAGTTACATATCTTCTGCATCATATCTAATGTAAAGTGTATTCATACATTCTTACAGTTAAATATTATCTTCGCTATGATTAGTAACGTTTCATAATGCTGAATGTCAAAAGTGTATAGTAAACTGTAAGTAGAGTGACGCATAACTGTGCACAAAGGTTGCCTCCTCGTCGTCATTATCTTCACCTCTATTTCAGTTTTCACGCCATAAAATCACTAGACTTTTCTTATATAATGCAATTTGAACCTTCCATCGGCTTCTGTTAACCGTACACTTCTGTCCAATCAATCAACGAGAAAGTCCAAATTAAATCAAACAGTAACTGATACGCGTTGCACAAGAGTTGGCTCTCGTGGTCCAAGTGGTGCAGTGGATAACGCTTTGGTGCTTGAAACTATGAGCACTGGGTTCGAGCTCCAATGGGGACGCTACCGCGCGCTGGGGAATGCAGGTGTATCCAGCTGCCGAGTCCCGAACAGGACTGGATTCCACTGCTAGTCACCATCCACCAAATTATTGTAACCTTTCATTGATACTGTGTCCTTTAACTTGAAATTCTAAGATGCAGTGCATAGAATCTGACCCAATTTTATTCCCTCTACCTTCATGTGTTCTTTTGTGAAACATGCAGAATTCAACTGCTGGATCTTTGCGCAAAGTTCTGTGTTGAAAATACAATCAAACAGTCAGTCAGTTGTGGTAAATATCAGATTGATTGTCCAGTGAATAAAATTTTTCGTTTAAAAATAATTTCACTTCGAATTAACAAATATGTTTGACTCGTTTATACTGCAGCAATTCAGTACAGTTTATTGTATACAGAAACAAAGATAATTAAAAGTGATTTTCTCTTATTTTCCACTTTCAGTGTATTACAAAACTTCTAGATTTAAACTTTGAAATGAATAATTCAACTAATTCTTCTGGTACATCAATGCCAAATTATCGTTTCGCTGAATTTTTCTTAAATAACTATCTACCTAATCGATGTTATCGTGGTGCACGACAATGTTTACTGACTCATTATAAAATGCAAAATATTATTGCATCGGCTAATACTGCTGGAGTATCGACAGCATCTAGCGGTGGTGGTGGATCTCCACTGAATAGTCCTTTTGGACTTAAACCAGAAGATATGTCTCATCCAACTACAGGTAGGTGTGTTTTATGACCTATATCCATTGAACTGAATTTTAGGGATCAGCATGCTCTATTCAACTTCAATCAGAGTGATAGGGACAGTATGTGTAGTCCATAGTGTAGTAAATGAGATACCAGTTGTGGTTAACTGAGGCGTGATTTCCTTCATGGTATCTATACATCTTGTTGACAAGCAACAAGTAATACTAAAACGAAGTTTAAGGGTTTTCTGCCGATCAATAGCACCAATTGTCAAACAGTGAATGTGTTTATTCAGGTTAGTTTGAAGAATCCAAGGTAATTCTGTAGACTGTGTACAATATGAAGGTCCTGGACTCAAGGCACTTACTACCGAAGAGTCCGAAACTAGGACGAAACACCTGTCCAGTATTGCCTGGTTTATCAGTGGTTCTCGGGTTGACGTCAATTTGTGGCCAAACCTGAATAATTAGAGATTCGACTCCTTTTAGGGTTATACTTTCTAAAGGATCTTTCCAATCTCCTATGGTTTGGTTTTTAAGCTGTTATGACTTTGTTGTCTTAAAAAGAAGCTTACATTGTACTTTGATATTGTTAGTACTTCTATCTGGACTGTCTTAGGGATTATTGACATTGTTTTTCTTCAGTTTGTTTTTTGTATTCATACGGTTGGTTTACAGACGATTTAACTGTTCTCAAGACTTCTTTTGGTCAATCATAATGCTTCGACAACATTTTAGACATTTTCACTCGTATTTGTTCATATTAGGCTTTGTCATTTATGTATTTTCCAAGGAATTATGAATTTCTCTATGCCTCACAGTTTTGCTGTTTCAGTGTTACTGTCACTGAAGTAGATTCTCTTATTTTGTGTGAATGCTGTATGTTTTCACAATTTGGTGATGGATATATATATTTTCCTTAATGCTTCCAAAATTTATTGTCAGACTTGTCTCTGGTTACTTTACTTAAGCGTTGTTTTAGTTCCAGTGTAACAATTTCATCTTATAATAGAGGCACTTTATCTTCTCTGTGAATACAAAACATTGTTTAGTATATTTACAAATGTCCCTTCTCTTTTACTATAATCTGTAAAGTATACCCGCTGTTGATTTTGGACGTGCCTGTTCAATTGAAGTTTTGTAGCGTATTTTGAATTTTCAAAGCAGATAGTCTAACTGCAAGGAGGCGCTTTAATGATGCTTCTAGGTTAAAGTGGTGTTATTTGGTCGATAGTGTTTGACAGTAGAATCCAGTACGCATGTTTCCTCCTACTTAGAACACATCAACTGGATGTACTCTCATTTCTAGTGAGTAATGGTATTTCGACTGAAAACTGAACCTATCACCCGTCTTTCTGGCGTCGTTTTTCCAGTAATTAATTAACTAAGTTAAGTAAAACTAATCCTAGAAGAATTTTAGCCATCTTACTGTGAAATGGTAGTATTCACGTTAAAATAGATAGGTAAATTAAAAATGATACAACTCATTTAAAAAATATAAATAAAACACAAACTTAGCACATTATGAGCATCAAGATATGCGTCACAAATCCTCATAGTTAGTGCTAAGGCTGGGATACGGTTCGGATGTCCTGACCGAAGCAGGTAGCAGTTGCCGAAAGGGGCCATCCGTTGAGCCTTCGACATAGAATCTGATCGGCAAGGGGGTGAAGCAGCCTCAGGAGATGCGTATCCATAGTTTCTACAGACCCAAATAAGTTCATTCACCATATGATTCATTCGGATTCTGGAGCACATGCACGCTATGGGCTTGGGATCAGAGTTTTCCGGCTCTCTTAAGTAGACTAGCATCTCCACCAGTACTATTGAAATCGTGGGACGTTCACCTCCTTCCTCTCATTTTATGTGGATAGGATTGACCTCGGAGGGACTATGAACGCGTGGCGATATGAGAAAACTTTGAGAGGAAGATCGGAGTATGCACTTTCTTGGCGTACCAGGTCGTGAATGGGGTTAGCTGCAACACTGAAGAAACTTATATCCCCTCATAATTAACAATCATCCCAGATTTAGACTGTATAAGGGAAATATTCTTTCATTCCTAGTGCTATAGTCATACAATCTTAGTATCATTCATTAGCATGCGTAATACGTCATCCAAGAAACTTGAGTTTTGATATTTTCAAAATTTAATCCCCCTCACAAAAGTTGCATGGAAGTGTGTGTGCGTGCGTGTATGTATAGAGAGTGTTATAATTTGACTGAATTATTTAGGAAGGACTTATATTGATTTGTTTATAAGCAAGCTGTTGATAATATATATATATATATATATATATATATAGTGAAAAGTTGTTTTGATATTTGATTGTGCATGATTAATTATTCTGTTACTGTGATACGCTTGTGAGATACTAATTGTGATAGTTTCTTGTTTTACTTTATATATCAAGCAAATGCAGCTTCTGGCATTCCTCATGGGCCAAGTAGTCGTAAAGTGAAAAACAAGATGAAAAGTGCAGCTGTAGCTGCAGCAGCAGCCGCGGCAGTGGCTGGAATGTCAATGTCATCCGGTAGTGGTGGTGGACCGGGATGTTCTGGTGTTGTTAGTGGATGTGGGGGAAATGCTGCTGGTGCAAACTCAGCTGCAGCAGCCGCCGCTGCTCTCAATCGATACAGAGGTTATCTTTTTTATCAGGTAAGTGAAATCATTGTCGTTAACTTGGGATATGAAAATTCCCTACAAATAATTGTTCACTGTAATTCCCTTGGTTTCGAAACGTAAATAGAGGGCTTCATCAGCAAACCTCCATTTCATCCTGTTTTCTGCAATCCTCCTTCGCTGGCCACACAAGTGCGCATAAGCCCTCATCTCCCCTCTTGCTATCTCCTCATCCTCGAACTCCCAATCTGTCATTGCCCATTTGGATTCCACTCGAGGGTCTATCTCACTCAATGGTCTCCTCAGTGTGTGTCCGATCCATTTCTATTTCTTTCTGCATATTTTTGGGGTGATAGGTTCTTCATTGATTTATTGCCAGGGTTCCTTACTGCTTATCTTTTCTGGACAACTGATCTTCAGTATGGAGTCAGAGAAGGCATCTGTTGATGAAAGTCTGAAGTCTGTTGGAAATGTTCTTCATGAACCTTCAACTCCCTGAGCTATATACAAGCACTGATTTAACCATGAGTGATTGTAATCTCACCTGATGAGGACTAATGACTGTCTAAACAAGCTCGCAGCATAACATACTACCTCAATATCCAATTCTATAATTCCCGAACTAAAAAAGTATTACCGAGTAGCCTTTCTGTTTGGCTTAGCTCTCTTTATTAAACATCAGCATCACTTACTAAAATGTGTACATTTAATCGTTCAGCTTTTTACAACAAAATTAACAGCTTCTGGTATGGTATAACCCTTTACTTCAATAAAATTGCAATCAGTGAGTGTATATGGAAGAGATCGCAAGAAGGCACTGAGGATTGTTATGACGCGTTTTTGTTCTCATGAGCTAAACAAGTTGGATGCAACGAATATGAATGTCATTTTAGTTTCTGATTTCTCTAGATGCTTTCGGTCTTACACTTCATTGTTTTACCTAAAACTTGTAAGTCATGGCAGTTGGTCGTTTGATTGATAAATAATACTCGAAGTGTAGAAGATGTGTGACTTCGCTACTTTAATCGAATGAAGGATCGAGTAAATGGCCATACTTAATGCTTGCCTGACAGGTACAGCACATATTCGGGATACGATACCCAGGATTTGCGTCAGTGTGTCCTTTTTGACCGATGTGATTTAGTGTTATGGAATTAACAAAATTACTAGAACATATTCAGTGTTTATCTTAAATTTTGCAGTTTACTTTTTAGAATGTTAAATTAACATAAAAGCGCATGTAAACTCAACAACTGTGGTAAATAACTATCCAGTATATTGTGATTTGTGTGTGTGTGTGTAGCGTGTGTACGTTTGACTAACTGCTTACTAGTTCCTCTACTTTGTTAATAACATTTATAAACTCTATCAGATCTAAGTTATCAACACAAATAGTGCATGCACTGATATATTAGTAGATTTTGGGCAGCTTACAGCTTAGTAAAACTTCTACAAGGCTGTAAATTTTTCTTCTTATCTATATATTCATTTGTTTTTATCTTGATTTAGCATTTACAAACCTGGTTCAATATGTTGCCGCAGAATACAAGTGAAGGCAATACGCAAACTGATTCCAATCCCTCTGTACCACCATATTTATCCCCAGTTATTCATGCTATGATATATAATGAAGACATTCAAACATCATGCTTACACAAAGCTATTCGAGATAAATTATGCGCACCCTCTGTACAAATCCATTCAACATTTCGTTCGTCTGGTTCACGTAGAACCGGTGTTTCTGGTAACACTGGAGGTAATATCACGGGAGTAGCGGCTTCATCAAACTTGGGTTATCATTCAAGTGGAAGTGGTCCATCCGCTGGACACTATGCACATCACTCTGCATCCACTGCACCAGCTTTACTTACACACCACCGACATCGTCAACATTCCACGTATGATCATAGTCAAGGTCAGAATCCAAGTATTTCAACTACTGAAGCTGGTGGAGTAATCGGATCAGTGAGTAGTTTAAATTCAAACTCTGGATCTGGTACAACTGTGGTTCATAGTGGTCCAATAATTCAAAAGAATCCTACTCACATAGCTGCACTTCAAGTGAGCTTTATGTTGTATATTGTTTCTGTTAATTTACTTTTTACTCAAGGATTTCTATAGTTTGTTTGTTTAGGTGGTAATATAAGCTTGCAGCTTGTTTACTCTGTTCACTAAACTGTATGTCAAAGAAAATTTAAGGTCAGTTAGTTAAGTTATCATAAAGAGGTAAACCAATGATAGGGAATGGGTGCGACTATTATTATTATTTATTGTTCCCTTGGGTTCCTAGTGGAACATAGGGCTTCAACTACCCGTCTCCACTTGCGTCTGCTGTACTTTTCACCTGCATCCATGTTAGTCCAAACTGTTTCAACTCCTCTTCATACGATCTCCTCCATGTCACTCTTGGATGTCCCACTTGCTGCTTCCCTTTTGGGTTCCACTCGAGTGATGGCCTGACGCGCGATGTCGCCCAGCGGCCTCTTCAGTGAGTGTCCAATCCATCTCCACTTTCTTCTGCATATTTGTTTGGTGATTGGTTCTTGTTTTGTTTGTTCGCATAGTTTCTTGTTGGTGATTCTTTCTGGCCATCTGATCTTCAGTATAGAGCGAAGACAGTTGTTGATAAAGGTCTGCAACAGGCTGTTGGAAATATTCTTTGTGACCCTCCAAGTTTCTGATCCGTATAGAAGAACTGACTTAACGTTTGTATTGAAAATCCGACGAAGATTTCCAGATTGGTTTCAGGTTGATGAATGTGTTTCTCACCTTCCCGATTCTCGATTTGACATCCTCGTCGGTTCCTCCTGTAGTTGAGACAATGCTCCCTAGATAAGTGAATGAAGTAACCTCTTTCAAATCCCTTCCGTTGATGGTGATTGGCTCTGGATGTTGCTGCTGCTGTTGTTGTTGTTGTTGGTTGTTTATTTTCATAACCTCCGTCTTGTCTATGATCACCTGGAGTCCTGTCTTTGCTGCTTCTTCGACCAGTTTGTCGGTTTTCGCTTGTAAGTCTTCGATTTTGTGTGACATCAAACGTAAATCATCGGCGAAATCCAGGTCTTCTAGGTTCTTCACGTCGGTCCAGGATATCCCTGTCTTCTCGTTTCCCACTGTCTGACGCATAATCCAGTCCACCACAATTAGGAATATCATCGTTGGTGATAATAAGCACCCTTGTCTGACTCCTGTGTTTACTCCAAACGCCTCGCTGAGTTTTCCGTTGTGGATTCCTTGACATGTGCCGATGGGTGCGACTAAGTGGGTTTTTTCCGTATGATGAACAGGCTTGTTACTCAATTCAGATTTGTATTATGCAAGGTTATTAACCAATTTTTACAAAGAAATTATTGCAACACTGAATTAGCGAGCCCCACTATTTGTCTGTGTTGAGTTCACTGCAGGCAATTCTTCATTCGTCTGACTTTAGGAATTTGAAAAATCCGTATACGTTACGTTACATCATATGGTCAGTTAGTGAGGTAATCCAGTTCAATAGTATTTATCACTGATTAATATAAGCAGTTGAAAACCATTTATGTCAAATAGTTATATAGATCGAAGTAATCTAAACACTGAACCGTCGTCCCGTACGTTTGCGACCAAGCTTATCGGCGTGGTAGTTGAATAGATTGATTGAGTAACCTCACAGAGTGCAATCACCGTGTAATTGAATACTAAATATATGTTTACGTAAAAATACTTGTTTAAAACTGGTCGACCTTATGCAGCATTCTGATAACACGTTGTATGTAGTGGGTAATTAGAGGTAGTAATTTTATTTTCCTGCTATACCCATACTTTCGACTGTTTTCAGTTATTTTGTGTATGATCACAAGCACTACGTATTAGTAAAGTAGGTTAGTATGAAAGATACATTTTGAAGTCGGAAGTTGTAAAAAAAATCATAAATGTTTATTAGCATAGAACATACGTTCATTTTGAAGTCGATGTAAATGATATGAACGGTAGACACATAAGGCAGTAAATAAAGGAGGTATAAAACCGTATGTGTCGGTCATTTATTGGTAAGGTGCTCGACAACCACGCTCCTAGTCCTGATTCAAATTCCCAGTTGATGTACTCCTAAACCTTGCTTAGTCGGTAGTGAGTGCAGTAAAGAGGGAAGGCTGGGCGTGAGGCTAGCAGCCCCACTCCGTAAAAACAACACCACTACTGAAACTTCAAGACTTAAGGTTGATGCTTTCTGTTCCACTCGGAATGTAGTGGGATGAAAAAATCTATACATGCAGGTAACATATCAGATTGGATTTCACGCCATTTTAATGAGGATAGGTGGGAACTAGATTTCAGCTTGTCTCCCTAACAAGACTTATTAGCATAGTAAGATTTTGATTACTGACATATTCATCGTTCAACATTGTCATTATAAATGTCTTTTGTTTTCTGTTATCAAGGAACATAATATCAATCCAGACACTTTGATTACACCTGCTATGGTAATTAAAAATAAAGAAGAAAGAGAAGCTCGCCAGCGTGCTGAAGCAGCAGCAGCAGCAGCGGCATTATCAGCTTCGAGTCAAGCCGACGCATCTGCCACATCTACTAGTCCTCAGATTTCTACATCATCCGCATCCGCTGATTCAGGTGCCTCCCAAAGTGATGTCATCACATCAGATCCTTCGAATTCACAGCATACCGAAGGTGTGGGTGTACAGTCTCACAGTTCTCATCCATCATCTGATCACGTGTTGAAAACATCAACAAGTTATACTAGTGCTTCCAGTGAGTTGACAGCCTCATATAATCTTTCAGCAAATTCCTCACCTGTTTCTCTCCCTACAACTTCACTTTCAAGTGGTGGTCGGGCAAGTGCACAATTGTCGTTTGCGCATAATTTATCTCAAAGAGCAAATAGTGTAATGGTAAGATACTTTTGTAGTACAACTTTTTGTAATTGTACTTTTACGTTACTTTTAAAATGTTCGATTCAATCGACTACCTATGCTGATTATGATTCTCTGCTAATCAATCATTTTTGGTTTGCTATACTCACTTAAAATTTTACATTAAAAGCATCTTTCACAATCCAACTAGCTATTACTATGTTCCTACTACTTTGTAAAGATGGTTTAAAAAAAGCGAATCCGTACTTCTCAAAGGACACAATAAAAATATTCTAGTTGTAGTAACTTTTCGTTTTGGCAAGAAGTTATTAAAAGTTTGTTTAAAAATTATGTCCTGTGTGTTGACTAAGGACCTGTTGTAATATGTTATCGAAGTACAATCAAATTCCTCAAAATATGGGTATGCCATAAATTCTCGGTCTATCTGTTGAAATAGTTTGCTTAACGACGCGCAAGACCAATCTGATTATTATTATTATTATTGCAATTTCATTTGGGTTTCGAGTGTGGAATATAGGGCCTTAACAGCACACCTCCATTCCACTTAGTTCTCTGGAGTCCTCTTTGGCTGGCCACACGATCACCCATAAGCTTTCTTTTCATCATCACTCCATGTTACCCTCTGTTGTAACGGCGTGTTTACGCCCAACCCTTCGTTTCTCACTTGGCTTCCACTTGAGGGTCTGGCGTGTGAAGTCACTCAACAGTCGTCTCAACTTATATGCAATCCATCTCAGTTTCCTTCTGCATATTTGTTAAGTTATAGGTTGTTGGTTGATTTGTTCCCAGAGTTCCTCGCTGCTAATCCTTTCTGGCCATTTGATCTTCAGTGTGATTCGAAGGTAGCTACCGGAGATGCTTTCGTTGACGCCATGCATCAAGTCTGAACAATAAAATGAGAAGCACTGACTGTCTTGACGTTAGTCTTGAAAATCCTATTAACGTTCTCTTTGCTGACTACAGCAGATTTCCACACTGTTTTCATGTTTATGAAGGTCTGTCTTGCTTTTCCAATCCTGACCGGCTCTGACATCCTCATCTGTGCTGCTTGTAGTTGAAACAATGCTGCCTAGATGCTTGAAAGGGGTTACTTCTTTCAGATAGATATGTCCCACTGATGGTGATTAGTGCTTGTTGTTGTTGTTATTGTTGGTTAGATATCTCCACCACCTTTTTATTCTCTATGAATGCACTTAGAACTTTGAGGTTTGCTACATCCTTAATTTCACCTAATCACAGTTAACGTCTCAGATATTCGAAGGTTGGAACTCATTCGAGTGTTGATGTACGAATAGCATAATTTCGTCAAACAAAACTCACACTATTTGTCTAGATCTCAATTAGTAGTAAAATGTTGGCCATCCAATTGAGTATCTCAGTAAGCACACATCTTTACCTTTTCGCAGATTCCATATTCGGACTCTGATTACGATTCAGATAAATGCTTCAAAGCTTGTCATTTTTCCCATGATATCAAACAACAGTTCTGATATAGGAGCATTTGTAAGTAACTTTAGGACTGTTATGTGGTAGTCATCGTTTCAGAAATCTATGTCAGACCTGTCTAAACCCCATCCTCATTCAGAAGATAAGGAACGAACAATAGAAATAATAGTAAAATTTAATACAATCATTTTTATTAGTGGATGATATGATAAGAAGTACAACATAAAGTTCCACCATATAACAGTTCATATTGTATCACCATCTCGTACACTATGCATGCAGATAACAGTTTACACTACATGACTATTCGCATTTTTATCTTGGTCTTTTATATATCAGTAATATTTTACATAATGTCTTTTTTGTAGCTACCAATTCGTTCCAGTTTTAACAGTAATACTGGTAGTTCATCAGGCACTGTATTATCTTTTACTGGACAGCAATCACAACAACGTTTAATTAGTGTACAAAACACTTCTTCCTCTCCATCATCTGGTCATTATCAATTTCAACCTCGTCAAACTTTATTGCATTCTTCAGTTGGTCGTCTTACTCATTTAACACCAGGCGGATCAATCAGCAATACTCAACACGTATCTCCATCTAATAGTCATCATGTAATATCATCTAGTGCAGGCGGTTCATCGTCACCAGATGATAATGCACCACGGAATATAGACTTAACTTCTAGTAATATTTTAATTCCTGGTAACTGGCGTACAGCGTCTAATTCACGATCACTTAATGTTCAAGTAAGTACATTTACTTTCATTCCTACTAATTAATAGAAAATTCACTAAGTATACTTATCATGTACCTTTTTATTACATTACAGAAATTTAGTGCTTTATTTGTAGACTCCATCACGAAGTATGTAGACATTTTTTTCTCTGTATTCCTTTTACATTCCTATTAGAATATATGGGACTTCAAGCTAAAATTCTGAAATTTTAGTAGCAGTGGTTTTATTTTTACGGGGTAGGATTGCTAGCCTCACAACCAACCTTCCCTCTTTACCTGGATTACTATCGGCTTAGCGAGGTTTAGGAGAGTCCAATTCCATATTAGATAAGTTTATTTTGATAATCACACAGGGATGCTGTATCAACAACTGGATGAAAAGCTTTCGAGCATAAATATCATAGTGTCTTAATCTGTTGCTTCGTTAGTTTGAATGACTATGGTTATAACGGAGATAATACTGGATTTGAGTTTATTCTTACTGTTATTTCAACGAACGATATTATGCGACTGAGCACTGGAAGAACAATAAGACACAGAAGACCGACTGAGAAAATAGAGATTTAGTTCTCTTGGGAAGAGTCACTAAGCCGAGAAATTTCAACTAACATTATACTTTCTTCACATCGATCAATAAATCATTAGTTTGAGATATGGAAACTATGCTTTGGTTGGATAAAAGGCACCAATAAAAATCTAACGACATAACCGTTAATCTACGTTAGAGTGAATTGTTCGGCCATTATGTCTCCCTTCCTGTGCTAATAACGATGGTTTACAAATAGAAATGCATACTGTTCCATATTCATCTTCTCATATAGTGTTTTTGGCTCCTCTGAGTTTATTTAAGACTTCAAGCGGTAGTTGAATTCGTTGACAAATTTGTAGAAAGGTGGTGGTATCTGCACATTCTCCTTCGTAGTTTGTTGAGTTGAACTATCATCTACTTAAGATCAATGAAAACTACCGTGTTAGTAGTGCATATGGTTTGTAAGCGACCATTCGAGTTCTTTATTTGTCCACCAAGAAGATGCACGGAAGTGTGCCTTCAGGGCAGAAAGCAAAAGAGAAGAAGTTCTACCTGTTTATGTAGTTAGATTACATGACCAATAAATTACAAGTTTAATGTATAGAAACTGAATTCTTGCAGCGTACCAATAAAAATTCGATAACACGATTTTTGGAAAACTCTTTATTACGGATTGGGTAAAATCAGTAGTTGTATACCACTCAAATCAACCAGTAGTGCTTTTTAGCCAGATCTCAGTGATTACCATCTATGGTATCAAGCAGATCACATGTTATGGTGATCTGAATAATTTTAATTTACAAAGGCGACTGTGGTGAACTTTGATCTAGGTTAAAAACTAAATGTTTATGCCACAGTTTACACAGAAAACAGTGACTAATAGCATCCCTACTTTCCGTTGTAACATTGTTCTGTCCAAACTTATAGCTGAGATGTGATGACTGGATTTACAAACCACGGAAGCCCTACCAGCTTTTGAATATAAATACCTTCGTTCAGTTGTATACATGTCAGGCGGAGCAATTTGATAGTTAACACCGAAATTGAACTTAATTGTTGATATTAGTTGCTTGGGGGTAGAGCTAAGAATGGATTATCGAAGGGTGTGGTTGGTAGGGTTCAATATTCCAAGCATTATGTACTAGTAATTTTTTTCTTAGACTGCAGATCAATCTCTTATAGAATCATTCTATTTCCTTTCAATTCTTTTTGTTTACTGTGTTGAAGTGTGGCAATTTGCACATAGCGAATCATTGAAAACCAAAACTAACTGACTGCCTGGCTTCAACAAAGAACTTTGCACTGATGTGCAGCAGTTCGAGTCGTCACACTTCACTCAGCACACAAAACCAGGGAAGAAAGCAAAAAGAAATGCAAAACAGAGATATGAGGCAAAAAGAATAGTAATAACGAAGAACAATATAGTTTTATTGGGTATTATAAGTCACAAGGGGTGGATGCATCTGCACCATCCATTGAAAACGATTTTGAGCCATATCGCCGATTGTCTCCACCTATTGGTGTTTACCGTCCCGAGGACACGAAACAGGAAGTCTGCACCTCCCTACGTGACTGGCTTAAACTAACTGTTGTGGATTTCATTGACTGATGCCATGTTTTGGTTTGACCACTACTGGCTCTTTTTCAGCCTGACCTTATATCAGCTAACATTGCCCGCCGAGGAATGCGATGGCTAGGCATACGTAACAGATTTCCTAACCATCTCAGTCTATGTAGCTTCACAGCCTCGTCGATTGATTTCCACTCCTTACCTAGCACTCGACCTAGGCCTAACCTCAATATTGCCCACCTTATTATACCACTTCACACGAGAGATAGAACGCAGGCACCTATGATCACAGACAGCTAGCCTTTTCATGTCCTCCACTCTCAATGGCCATGTCTCGCTCACAGCCATAAAGGTGGATAGAGCTGACTGCTGAGCAGTACACACTCCCTTTGTTCGACGGCCGGATATCACATCTACTAAGCCAGAGATGGCGTAAACTGGTATATGCGAAACTAGCCTTCTGTATCGATGTTGAGATTTCGTCAGTGATGAAGCAGGTGGCGTTGGCTGATGCAACTTCCCAAATAAGTGAAGTGGTCAACGTGCTCTATCACTTCTTTTCCTATTTGTAAGCTAGGAGTCAATGTAGTCCAGTCCTGTAGCATCATCTTACATTTGGTGGGAACGAATCGCATGCTAAATATTCGAGAATTGCTGCCCAAGGTGTTCAGGAAACTGCATTTTGTCAGCGTCTTCACCTGGAAGCACTATATCCTCCGTATATTCTAAGTCAACGAGATTATTCAAGTCAATCGTTGCGTCTCTGAAGTGAGTTAGGGTTAAGTCCATTAGTACGTCTATGATGAAGTTGAATAGAAATGGGGATAGTGGGCATCCCTGTTGGACACCACAAGTTGTCACCACTTCAGATGACAACTTGCCGTAAGCTCTCACCTAGCTGCATGAGTTCGAGTAGAATGCCTTGATCAGTGCAATGTACTTCCTCGGCATTCCCTTCACAGCCAAGCATCGCCATAGTACCTCTCGGTCGGCAGAATCGAATGCCACATTCAGGTCAAGAAATATAACGACTGTTGGACGCCGCCGGTAAGTATGCCTATGTTCCAGAATCTGTCGGAGGGTAGAAGATATGATCAATACACCCTCTTCCTGGCCTGAAACCTGCCTGGTTTTCTCGTGTTTGTGCCTCCCGGGCACCATTTGGTCTACGCAATATTATTGAGCCTAGGATTTTAGATACTATATTAGTCAAGCTAATCCCTCTGTGATTACCAGAGGAAGACTTGTCTCCCTTCTTGTATGTGGGAATAATCAGTGACTTACACCAACCCGATGGGACCTCCTCTGATTCCCGGACGCTGCCTAGTACCTCAGTTAACGCAGAGAGCAAACTGTTTCCGCCATCCTTAAACACCTCTAAAGTCAGTCCATCAGGTCCTTCTGCTTTGCCTCATTTCAGACTAGCGACAGCTTTAGTAACCTCAGTTAGGGACAGAGGACCTGTGTTTATATCCCATTCAGGGAGGCGTTGGATGTTCGGCAGGTTGAGCATGGCTGTAGGCCAATTGAATTGCTCCTCAAATTGTTCTTTCCAGCGTTTGAGGTGATAGAGTGCAGTGGAGATGACTCACTAACCTGAAGAATAGTACTGACTGTGGTAGGGGAGTAAGACGATGCAGGTGTTGTGGGTAAAGGAAAATGATGCTCGGGGAGGCTTCGTGTGCTCTTGGAAATGTGTGGGCGGTTGTTACTTCCCGACTGCCTATACCGTGGAAGTTGTTTGATTCTTCGGGTACCTGAAACAGAGAGAGAGTTAGTATTGTTGTGATCGCAGAGCCCAGGGTACAACTGCATGAGGCCGGTCACACACGACCTGTATGAACTGGTTTCTTGGATTGGTTTCGCACCAGTAAACTTATCGCCGTTTACGGACCACCTTAGGGTAAGTCGGGATGTACAATTGTTGGGGTCGACCTTTTCTAACCCCCCTCTCTCGAGAGTGGAGAGACAGCACAGCTAGCATGCTGGTCATCTGAAGGAAACACCTGATTGCTGTTACATCCCTGTTCCCCAGCAATAGTACAACTTTTCCCACAGACCCCCAGCATAGTCTAAAGAAAGATTCTTGCACAATGCCGGTAACTGCTTTTAGTCTAATCGCTATCCTAGCAACTTTCCTGGCATGGTAGGACCTGCAGCAACATTGGTTCCAGCCAGTATAGCTTGTTGGTTCATTGCTATGTGCACGCCCGAACACCACATCAAGGTAGCAGCTATCGGTCAGGATTGAAAACCATAAAGTAGTAGACAAGTGATTCGTCCCATGGTTCACTTTCCACCTCATAAGAAATTAAACCGAAGATCTCTGTATGATAACATCTTATCTAAAATCAATCCGACGTCCTTTTTACCGAAGCGACATAGTCATTTATTGAATGTGATTCAATTGAGTCCAACCTATCAGTTAGCGTTTCTGTAGTCATTTCGGGCTGCTTTCGCTAACTTACACCGTCTCTGGCGTAGGCGTGGCATTTGGCTATCAACCAAGGGACGTGTATACTGCTCATCAGTTCGCTCCGTCCTTCTCTATGGTAGTGAGACGTGGCCATTGAGAGCGGAAGACATGAAGAGATTGTCTGTTTTTGACCACAGATGTTTACGATCTCTTTCTCACATTAGGTGGTATAATAAGGTAAGTAATGTTGACGTTAGGCGTAGAGTGTTGGGCAAAGAGGGAAAATCACTCGAAGAGGCTATGAAGTTACATAGGTTGAGATGGTTAGGTCACATGCTGCGCATGCCTAGCGATCGCCTCCCCCGACGCATATTACTAGCTGATATAGGTGCAGGTTGGAAAAGAGTAAGTGGTGGCCAAACAAAAACATGGCATCAGTCCATGAAATCCCTGACAGTTAAACTGAGTGTGGTGGGGAGGGAGGTACAGACTTCCGGGTTGGGGCCCTTGGGACTCTAAGAATCATTGGCTGGAGACAATAGGTGACATGGCTCAAAATCATTGTCAATGGCGCAGATGTATTCAGTCTCTTTAACCTTTCATATTCCTTTCTACCATTACTCATTCTGTTTCACTCTTATACTTGTCAAAACTCTATTGATTCTCTTCAGTCATCTTCTTGTCTACCTTTGTGTGCTCTTTGGAAGGTGGCAACTCGAACTGCTGCACCTCGGTGCCAAGTTCTATGTTGATTCCAGCAGCAGCAGTCATTTCGTTTAGTTTTTGCGCCTTAGTTCTTCCGTTGTCTGATTCAGTCTTTAGGCATTTGAACCACTTGTTATCATTAATTGTTTTGGTTGTCATACTCAATGTCTTACATCAATTTTTTTCTTATCTTTTAGACAATTGTTTCATCTACACCTACTGTTCTCCGACGTTCTTCCACATTCACTGGCATTAGTTTAGCTGGTCAGTCGAATAGTGGACTTCAAACTTGTCGGCTTAATCCTGCAACATCTAGTGTTTCTCAGAGTTTGTCAACCACTTCATTCACTGGTACTTATATGAATACACAAATTGCAAAAATTCCTAATTCCCCTTCTTCCTCAACACAATCGAACTTCTATGTACAGCAACGCCCACAATTCTTGTCGACTGCACAAACTTCGGTGTCTTCACCTACTCGTGGAGTTTTTACACAACCGTCAAATGTTGCTGTAATCCCTAGTGTATCAAGTAATTATTCAACATCAGTTACACATTTACCTCAAATTCTTCGTCCTAGAAATACAGTAAGTTTTCACTATAAAGAAATTATACTTCATCATCACGTTGATGTTATACACAAATATCGAGTAACAAAGTAATCTTGTACAAATTTATTTACTTGACCAATGCATTAGGCATAATTATCGTAGGTTATTGTTGTTATACTCAGATGATAATATGTCGATGGGTATTTTAGCGTGTAACCGATTAATAATCATTGATGGACGTCACATGTTAACTTACATTATTTTTTCATTTGGTGCAAAGGTGTTTCTCGACAGAGAGAGTAGGTTGATTCATATGAACTGTGGTGAAGATTTGATAGGATAGTTCTAAAATAATTGGGCGCCGACTAGGTCGGTTTCATGTTATTTGAAAATCTAACTGGGAATCTCTACAAGTTTTAATAACTATTCAGTGTCTGTTGACATCGATTACTTCATCAGCCACTTACATCTTCTTCATTTATCAATCCAAGTGTCAGAAAATAGGAAATATATGTAGGGAAGTAATAAATGCTCAAATTAGTTTTCTTACCAAATCGACGTAGGTTAAGGAGGTATTAGAAATTGACTGTTTGTTTCTGCTTTAATGTTCTTCTCAGCATTGTACCTCAGCACAACTGTTTAGTGTATTTTGACTTTGCTTGTTTCTTTTAATGATATGTATCTGTAGTGGTGGTTGGTTGAAGCTCAGTTCCCTGGGATAGATTCGCCATATACTCTAGCCTATGAGCCACATATAATACTTAAGAGCTGATGAAACTATCCCAGTTGGCCAGGATGAAGTTGTTTGAAAATCGAGTACTTGAGCCATTGCAGTGCATTTAAAATGTCCTCGGTCCAAAGAACTGTGAAAGGAGAGTGTGTCGGTAGCACAGCGGTTAGGACTCCCGCCGACCATGTACATGGTCCGGGGTTCGATCCCCTGCCGACGTACACCTGATATCTATGGTCGGCCTGCAGAATTTAGGCTACCGATATCACATGCTGAGAATTCCATACTTGTACCAAGATTATGGTGTGGAATCAAGCTATAATCAAAAAACATAACAAAGGTTAATATATAAATTACTTATTTCAATTTCGCTGAGATTTTACAAATATAATTTTTCACAAATGTCTAAAGTAACAAAGGTTTGTAAATAAAGAGGACATCTTTTGTTTTTAAAAACTTTGTCCGATCATGTGAGTCATGAAATAGTCATCATCACATAATGAACAAAACTGTATGAGCTGTGATCATAATTTGACCTCAGACTTACAAATATTAGTTTACTTTTGTTAAACATTGTAAACAGTGTGTACTTTTATATCAGAATTTGAGTAATTACGTTCGACTAAAGTTCATGGTCGTAGATAACTGAATATTAAGTTATATGTGTAAATGCGGTATACAATGGTGTGTATGTGCATGTGTGTGTATGCGGCAACAATTGTAAATCATTTGTTAGTCTCTCCATAAGAAGACTATCGGGAATTTAGATCAAGTATGATTGATTAGTGATACATATCCATTTTTATTCATTAATCAGGACTTGCCATGCATCAGCTAACATCATACCTTCAAGTCTGTTCAAAACCTTTATGGATTTACCCATTTATGTAGGGCTTCTGCAATCAGTCTTTCCTTATATGAACCAAAATCTTTTTGCAGAACCTTGGTTTTATCAAAGTCGATCTTGTGTCCCGTTTCTATCTAGTGAAATGCGTTCGCCGATCTGTTTTCTAACTCTTTCAAGTCTACAGAGGTCTTTGGAACTACCTTTATATATATTGTTTATGCTCCTTCACTTCTGTATTTACCTGTCTGGAAGTTTCTCCTACATATAAGGCGTCACATTTCCCACAGTTGATCTGGTACACATAATTCTGTTGGTTGTCCTCTGTTTTATCCTTAACCTTCACCAGTGATGACTCTAAGGTCTCCGTTTCATAACTCATATAAATGGACAAAGATTTTAAAATAAGAGATGTCTTTTTATTTATAAATCTTTGTTACTTTAATTTCGATTAATTTCCCTGAAGAAGTTCGGACCAGTTTGCCGACCGAAACGTTAGAATTACTCATTTCAATTAACCTAAGATTTTACAAATATAGTTTTTACATATGTCTACTTCTCACTCGGTGCCCAGTTATTTTGGAACTATTCGGTCAAATCTTCATCACATCTAATAGGAAATAAGAGTAATTTATCTACACAGGGAGTAAAGTTTTGATATTATCCTGTGAATAAGATCGATTTTAATCTGTGTATAAGTGAAACCCATCATCAACATTGATTCACTCACTTGGCTTCTCTCAGACTAGTGTGATTTGTAAATTCTTCTCAATCAGTAACTTGGATTATCCTAGGGAATGGCCATATTTTTGCATGAAATTTAGACATATCTTTGTTTTAGTAAGAAGCCAAATATTCCAATTAGGATTGTACAATAACCGTTTTAAAGGTATACACAAGATCTATTTATCAAGATAATGAACTAAGATTATCAGTGTTTCCATCTTCAGTAAATTGGCTTAAGCTTAATATCAGTAAAAAGTTTGAGCATTGTGGATTAGATCAAATAAAGTATAATTATATTTCAATAGTTTACACACAATGATAAGTTTTGTTATTGGTAATATTTCGAGCAAAATTACTGCCCGTGTTCACACGACTGTTGGAATTGTTTTGTTTACACATTTATGATTTGTACTCATATATATAGTTCATTATTTTTGCTCATTCATGTTTTTTTGTATTTAAATAATATTCCACGTTCATTCATGTTTTTGTAGTCAGAATTATATTCCAAGTTGTTGATAGTTGTACTTATTGATATCTCTCCTGCAGTTCATGTCTTATTCAGTTTATTATAGAAATGTACATATATAGTTTCATTTTGACATATTTATGCTAAGTTGGATTATTTATTTCTACATTTTTAGATTCGCGGTTCAGTTGTCCAACCGGCTTTTGTCCGCACCATTCCTGCTAGCAGTGGTAGTGCTAGTGGGGTTTCAGGTGGTTCAGTTGTTCCTGTCTCAACAACACAACTTGGAACTCGTCTATCACCTAGTGTAGGCGTTTCTGCATCAAATATACTTCATGGACGTGTCACTACACTCACTGTCTCCTCAAATAATCCATCCGTTGCTAATATTCTTAGCTCACGTACCGGAACACAGCATAGTCTATCACCTACTGTCTTTCAATCGTTAAGGACATGCATTTCAGGAGGTGTTAATAATCCTCCTGGGAATGAACAGCCTCATCAGTCGTCGTCATATGGCAGCGGCGGCGGCGGCGGTGGTGGTGGTGGTAGTGGTGGTAATAGCAGTAGTAGTAAATCATAAAATCTTTGAATTTCGTCATATCTTTGTTTTGCATGCAAATGTATTCAGATACATCTTTCGCGATTATTGATACTCCTTCTTTGAACCAGTGATTATGAAATTTCATTCTTTTGTATATGGTAATCAAATAGTCAGGGTTTGCTTTTTTCCTCATCCTTTTCTTACTATTCACACATGCATAAATTACTTAGATTACCTCATCAGCACATTCACTTTTGAATGGGAATATATATATACATATATAATATTCATATACCTATTTACGTGCTAAATACTTGTCAACAGCATTTGTCGATCTCCTTTTTTCGCCCAATGTATTCAACCTTTTACTTATCTATGTATGCTTTTAGATGCTATTTGCTTTTGTTTTTTCTACTTTTCATTTCATATACCGTATTTGTTATGCTGCATATTTGTCCCATTTTGTATATTTCATTCTCTGTCTACTACTAATGTGAAGTACTTTTACCGTTTGTTGGTTCCCGTCCCCGACCCCGCCCCCCATTTTTTGTTTTTGATCATTCATTGTGTAAATTTCTGCGTCTTCTACGTGTTGATGAGCTATATTTATATCTGTTATTTTTCAGTCTTTTCCGATAACTCTGTATTCTGCCAGCGTGTTCAGTGGAAGAAATATACATATATTGCTTTGTCTCTGATTTGTTTGTTTTCATATCACTGATTATGAATGGATGTATGTTTAGATTTTAACAGAGATAGAATAAACATGGGCTCAGAATATTATAGATCTGTTTTTATTTTGTTGGTCCTCGTCAGCTGCATACAAACTATACGACTTAATAAACAAAAGTTCTATTACAATTTTAACATATATTTCGTTTATCATTATGAATTAGTCCCATAAGAAGGACAACGTTTTCCGTTAAAAATAAAAATAGTTTGTTTTTAGGGTGGTGATAATGGAGTGGAGATAACAAAATACAGTGATTAGGACTGGTAAGCCTGGAGAATCAAAATTTGGTGTGTGTGTGTGTGTGTGTGTGTGTACGAAGTCGAATGAAAAGGTGATGCCGTAATACAATGAGTAGAGCTTAAAGGATCAAAAATTAAATCTAATATGAAAGTCAACAGTTGAGGGTGGGGGTTGAAAAAAAGATGACTTCAGAAGACAAAGAGTTATGAAGAAGAGAGTTACCAGGGTAGTTGCAGTCTTACGACGGATGCCTTTTGAATACAGTTGTTTTATCGCAATAGCTTTAGCAAATTGAAGAAGACGGGCTGTTTTGCTGTTAATTATGTAAAATGCATACACTAAGTGTCCTGTGTCTTTCAGGTGTTTGATAATTGATGTGTTCATGATAATAAATACAAAGTATATTAAATTGAAGTATGCGCTGAAGATGTTGTCTAGTAGGGCAATGAAAGCTTCGCAAATAAACCATCCAGCTCAGAGAACACAACTACATAAAACGTATATTAAATCTATCTGTATTATAACTTATTTTACTAAATATTATAGATTGTATGCCGCTGACGAATTTAAATCAATCTATATTTTTCTGCACTAATGTTTGTTTTACCTCTATTCAAATTTATAAAGGGGAATTCGTGTAGGAAGTATGTGTGTATGTGGTTAACATTTTCGCACTCATGAATACGATAAAGAACATAGATTTATGGTATACAACTACCGATGTCTAGTGATATTTTTTTCTTATCACTTTATGGATTCCTATTTCTATAAACTTTGAGGATTTTACATCAGTGAAAGTAAATTTCTCTTCTTAACTTACCTGCTGAAGCCATAGGAAGCCAGAATGACTTGGACGCAACAATTGGCCAACAGAATATGTTTCACTTCTATATCAGGGAAAAGCTTTATAATAATAAAATGAAAACAAGTTACTGCAAACGCTTTGTGTAGCTTGATTCGATCTTGTTGTCTTGTTTTGCTTAAGTTGGCCAGTTGGTAGACGTTAACAACACGAAAAAGATATATATATATTGTCAGGCATAACTTTGTATGTAGATAACTAATGACTTGATAGATTGTGAAGGGCAAGTACTGACTGATTGAAGATGCCGACATTCCTTGCTGACAAATGATACTTCTTATCGTTTCTTCCTATGCAATCTTGTGCGAAGGATGTATAATCCTTCAGGGAGTGCTTCTTAAGTCAATTTATTTTGAAGCTCGTTAACACAAAGTTACACAGTGCTAAGTTAGGTTTTTGTTTTATAAAAGTTGCACACATTCTTTTATGCATTATCAAAGAACTTGAAATAATGACATCAGTAGTCGAATGACTTTGGACAGAAACTTGTCTTTCGATGTTATCATACTTAAAGTATCATTATGCTTTTTACTTATTTGACATTTTTATAAATCTTTCTCTTTGTTTATGTGTTAAACCCAAAAACTTTGAATTAGATGCTACCAGTTATCACAGCAATAGCATCATGTCATCTCAAGACTCACTTGGTTCAATATCATGTAATTCAAATTCGATTCAGCTGAGACATACAGTACAAGTACTTAGTGAATAAAGTCAAGATTTATTTGAAGCATGGTTTTCATATGAAAAAAAGCATAAAATAATTTCAGTGAATGAAACAAATAATAGCAAATTTCACTCCATACTACTTAGCGGTTAGTATAAGTAGCCCGAAGTCACATAACGGAGAAAATGATGCATGTTAAGATTCTTTTGTTTATCTCGTTGATTGAAACGGAATGTTCTCCTTCTGTTGGCGTGTCGACTTCAAGTACTGGCGTCGGTGGCACAGTGGTTAGGACTCTCCCCGACCATGCACATGGTCCGGGGTTCGATCCCCTGCCGGCGCACACCCGATATCTATGGCCGGCCTGCAAAATTGGGCTACCGATATCACATGCTGAAAATTCCATACTTGTCCCAAAAATACGATGTGGAATCAAGCTATAATAAAACTAATACTGATGTTACTTAGTAGATGATGACCACCAGTGGAATCCAGGATGGGTGGACAGACCTACAAGTCCCAGTGGGAACACCATCAGTAACTGGGGATGGCAGGCACATCCATATGATGAGTCCCAAATAGGATAAAATTTGCATAATGGATTCTTCCTCTAGTAAACATTTGTTGTACCATGAGAGTTATAACTGGATGATTGGTTTGTAAAATTAACACTACGAATTTCAATTATGTATTGTAGATCATAAAGGTCATCGAAAGTTGTATTTCAAACATTCCTTGAACATCTGTGAGATGTTCCAATTTGAGTTGCAGATCTTTCGCTGATAATCATCGCCTGTCTGTTATTTGTTACCGATTGAATGACTTGTCTATGATAAAAGCTCCTATAACCATCATATCATATTCATAAAATACTGGTTATCATTACTGTTCATTCCTTGAGCTCCAAGTGGAACAGAAGGGGTCAACGGTACATCTTACTCGGATGTCCAAGCCGTCACTTCGCATTCGGGCCCTACTTTATGGCCTTGTGTGTGATGTCACTTGAAGGTATCCTCAGCGTACGTCCAATCCATTTGCTTCTGCATATTTGCCGAACAAAAGGTTCTTGTCTGGTTTGCTGCTTACCAGAGTTCCCTGCTGCTTATTCTCTTTGACTGTTTGATTTTCAGTATTGATGTAGCGAAGATAAGTGTTCATGGAAGTTTGCAGTTTGTTGGAAATGCTACTGGTGATGTGCCTGGTCTTTGAAACATATAGTGGTACTGAATTGACATTAATGTCGAAAATTCGCATCATGTTCCTTGTTTTGTGGATCTTCACACTGCTTTCAGTGTAACCTACACCTGTCTAGTTTATCCGACTCTTGTTGGTTTTAACTTCTTCATTCGTGCCTTCTGTTTTTGAAACGATACTGGCCACGTAAGTGAAAAACACTACTTTATTTAGATTTCTCCCGTTGATGGTGTTTGGTGCATGTTGTTTTTCGTTAGGTATCTTCACCTATGTCTTCTCTATGTCCACCTGAAGTCCTGTCTTCACCACCTCTTCTACCAACTTGTTGGTGTCCGCTGGTATATCTCCGAGTTTGTGAGACATAAGATATTAATCATCAACGAAATCCAGATCTTCCAGGATTTATTTGTCGGTCCAACGTACGTCTTCTCATTCCCTTTCGGTCTGTTGCATGATCCAGCCTACCACAGTCAGCAAGGTGATCGGTGATGGCAGGCAGCCTTTTTTCACTCCTGTCTTAACTTCGGATGTTTTGAAAACCTTCGCGTTGTGAATCACTTGGCATGTAGCATCTTCATATAGCTTTTGATTGAGGTTTATAAATGTGTTGAAGTAGTTACGAAATTACTTCACGGTTGGCCCTGTCGCGAAAGCTTTTCCAAAAATCATAACTTATCTACTCTCCAGATAACAATTTGGAGAGTTTGCTTTCATTCCATCTGTTTTTATTACAGATTTCATATTTCATTTCTTCTGTAGTCTGAACAGCCTGAAATATGGTAGGAATATTTCATTTCTGATGCTTACTATTACTTTTATTGGAAGAAAATAAATTGGCCGACTGATTTACTGAATTATTTTACCAACCAACGTCATCTGTCCTCAGATTGAAGGATTTTCGTGATTCTAGCGGAGAATAAGTTTTCTTTATTCTGGGGAAAAGATTAGCTTGTAAACTAAGCAAGCTTATTTATTAGTTGTAAAATAGATGAGATAGCTACAAACGTTTTTTTTTTAGTTCCAAATGTCAGTTTATCTCAGAAGTTCATTCATAAGGTGGAAATACGAACCTCAAAATAGTGAATTATTCTTATCTGATACCCAATTTTTTTTAGAATATAAATTATGAACTTGGTTTGAATGCCTTTGGTCAAAGCCGATTTATGCTTATGTATTGATGACTTAATGAATGTAGTTATAAGTATAGATATGATAGAGAAGATTTGTAGCTCAGGTGGATAATTTTGATGTGGTTGTGTTCTCTGAGCCGGATAGTTAATTTGCGAAGCTTTCATCTCCCTACTAGGTGACATCTTCAGCGCATACTTCAATTTGAAGTGAGCTTTTAGATTTCTCCTCGAGTTTATTAATCATCTCTCCTGGTGACCTTGGACGTGATTGGTTGTTTTTGTGTGTTTTCACACCTTCTAGGTTACTTGTATTGTAACTCATTGTTTCTTTGACTTGAACTTTGACCCTTTGTGTGTGAGGTTTCTTTCTTATCGGTTGATAGATTTTGTCTATCTCAATGTGTCTATTGATTGATGATTCACTGGAATGCCAAGCTTCTAAAAATTCTCTAGCATTCTTGTTGTTTCCTCTGTCTAATATTTGGACGTTGTCCCAGTCGAATTGATGTCCGTGGTTGTCTGTATGTAGTGATATGAGGGAGTGGATAACATGTCTTTTGACAGCTAGCTTATGTTCGTGGATAAGAAGACGAAGGAGACGTCCACTTTGGCCGGTGTATTGTTTTTCGCAGTTGATACAATTTATTTTGTAGATGATGTTGGTTTTATCTTCTTTCGCTGTTGAGTTTTTTGGTTGGTATAGAATTGAGTGAAGTGACTTTGTTGGTTTGTGTACGACATCAATTCCTAAAGGTTTGAAGAGTCTTGTAATGATTTCTGAGATATCCTTTATAAGTATCGAAAAAATTGTTTGTAATGCTGTTTTCTGTAAAAACAAGCCATGTTTTCTATTTTCCTTTGAAGAATAAATGACCCCGTGTTTGAAAAGTGGATTCTTTAAATATTTCACGAATGATTTTTCATGAAGATGATACTGCGTGCGCTGGGTAAATGTATTAACCATGTGACCTGAAGTTCCTGGGTTCTGTTACTTAAACGTTCGTCTGAACACTGCTGATGAATTCCCAACAAAACTGTCTTGTACTCTTTAATTTTCAATATTTTTCTGAATGCACTTAATTCATGATAAGTTCTACTTTCATATCATTCAAATCTCTATAAATCCTGTGTTTGATTAATTTTATTCTTCATTTTAGTTGTGCACTACTCATGTGTCAATTTATTCAGCTAACACATTACTGTAAAGACACTACTCCTCTAAAAGCAATTCTCATTTAAATGAATATGATTGAAGAGCAAACTTAACTTTGAATAAAATGGCGAGAATATTTTTCAAACGGACGGTGAGATCGATAAAAGCCATCAGAAACGGTTAAAATTTATAGTTATATATCAGCATAATTTAGAAATATCACTGGGAAATCATAAGTATG